CGTTAGCCCCGCAGTCATCTGGTTCGACGTGACTGACTGTGGCTGTGACTGTGGCCCATTCCCAAACCGCCCCCTACACCCTACCCCTCCGTTTGCGCGTTCACGCGAAGGGTCTGCCATATTGAGGGCTGTTCCAAAGCAACGAGTGTGGAGGGGGAGTGGGCTATCAAGCCCTCAAACAGCGAGTCTGCAGCGGTGCTGACTTGAGACCGGTCTCTACCTGACCGGAGTCACGCTGTGTGTGTCCGTCAGGAAACACGCTGTTTACAAGTAGTTCCAGCAAACATCCACTGATAAATTGCGATGTTAACAACCTCATGATAACCTCATATGTTTTTAACTTATGATCATACCTGTGTTTAGTCTAGAAAAAGGTAAATGTGTGCATTTTATTATAAAGTTGTGTATATTTACAGACCGTTGCAAAAACTAAGAAGCTTATAAACATCAGGTTTAAAACTAAAAGAGCTTTGAAACACAATGAAAGATGTTTGGAGTTTTATTTGAGTTATTCATTTAAACTTTTTGTCTAAGAGATGCTTATTTGAAACCGTTGTTACACACAGTTACGGCATTTCCTGTTTCTGCCGGAGAGAGGGGAGGCCGTCCCAAAGCTTGCTGCTGTATTTACTCCCTCCATCTGACAGGAGGGAGCCTCGTTGAGCTGCGAGTGTGGCTACAGACGGAGTTCACTCCATCACGGAGGGGTAGGGTCGAGGGAGTGGTTTGGGATTGGGCCTGAGTGACTGACCCGAGCCTCGTCGTTCTGATAGCTCCGCCCCTTCGCTCCAACCCCCCCCCCCCCCCCCCCCCCCACATATACAGGTGAAAATTACTTTTGCGACACATTTATCGCAAGAAGTGTAGCAAAAGTCAAGACCGCAGATTCGTCGATTTATACTGCCACAGAGCAGATTCGTCAAGTTGTAATGACTGACTTGAGAGGTTGTAATAAATAAAGTTGCAGTTGTAATGGAAAATATATTTAAAAAATATGTATTTTTCTGCAAGTGAACATTTCATCACTAAGTTCATTTTTTTTCTACAAGCTACACAACTTTTTTTTCTTCTGTGACTTCAAATTTGGTTCACAGTTACGTGGATATTTTATACAAGTGTACATTTGGTTCACAGTTACGTGGATATTTTATACAAGTGTAAATGTATGCACACAAGCTCAGATTTTTTTTCTGCAAGTGCTCACATCAGGTTTTACCCATAGACTGTATATATAAATGGACGTAGGGTCCGTGACGTCACCCATAGGATTCTGCAGAGTTGCTGTGAAGCCCTTAGTAGGCGGAGTCGGCCACTAACGGCTCGACAGTGACGCCAGAGTTCAACTCCCGCCTTCTCCAGCCTGCTCCAAATAAGGGCAAAGAGGCGGAGCCGAGGCGGGACCTGCTGCCACCGAGCTGGAAGTTCCAGAGCTAGCTGAAGCTACCAAGCTAAGCTAACATGCTCCCCATCTGCACGCTGCCGTCGCATTTTACGTTTCTAAGGTAAGCGGACATGAAACTATTCAGCAAAACTATAAATAATAATCTAAGTTATTGAGTTTTTAGCATAATACTTCAGAATCTTAAAACCCCTTAACGTTTGTATGCAATTGTGCTAAATTCAACACTGGAATCAAGCAAATATTAATATGTTTGCATGACATTAGTTATTTATATTTTGATATCACTTAACTATACGTTTAATACATTTAAGTCAAGCTAAGGTACATGTGATGGTAGCTAGTTAGTGCTCTTACCTGTGAGGCCTCCTCCAAACAGCATAATAACCAGACTATCATTAAAACTAAGTACCAGTTATAGATCCTTGACTTTAGACAAACAATTCAAAAGACAAAATGTATTTAAAGACCAATCTTTATTTGAATGTGCCTCTTAACCTGAGATATTAGTTATACAGTAATAGTATTGACAATCTAACAAAACTGAGCAACTCAACAGTCAACTTTATATTTCTTATTGTCTAAAGCATTTATTATTTTCATTTTCCCCCTCTCATATTCAGTGTGGACGGATTGAGACAGCCTGGTGTCCAGAGAGCTGCAGAAACTTCAGGGAGAAACCTCCGTGTGATGGACGTCCTGTCTGTTGGTTTGGAGAGGACTGAGGGTCTTTCCTCTGCGAGGAGGACCAGGGCTGATGGAGGAGCCCATGCTGGGCAAAGCTGATACCAACTGCACAGGCCTAGTCGGTCACTTTATTTGACTAAATGTGTTTAATACATTTAATAGGTTTACACCTTCTGTCCATATGTGCTTTTTATTTAAAACATTTGATTAACTTTTGGTTCACATTTCAATAAATTGTATTTGTATTTGCACTCCTTTTGTCCATTATTCTTACTGAAAATGTTAGATTACACATTCACATCTGACTGAAGATTGGCCCCATTTATTTGTGACGTTGCAAAACAAGGTACATGTTGTGAAGCTCATAAAGTGAGGCAAATAGAAATAATCAGCTGATGGAGTGTAGATGTGGAAATAGCTGCATTCGATCAGCTGACTGTTTTTACAATAAAAGTAGTTTCTTAGTGAATGTCCTGTACTGGTCTTAAAATCTCATAACATCAGCTTTTAATGTTCCTCTTGGATGTTCTTCTTGACCCTCAGAGAAGGAGAAAATGTCCTGTCTTTCAGGCATGTCCTTTCCTAACAAAAATGACAGGAAACATAAAACATATTATTGCAGAACAAGTGTGTTATTTATGAAAGTGGTGTGTTTGTGTGTTTAGGGGCTGTAGATATAATTATTTTGTAATTGTAATGTTTTTTTTTTATTTCAACAATGAGCTACAAAGACAATCAGATTATGAATGAACAGTATGAAGTTCATCAACATTGAAATATATGTTATTATCAAAATAATATTGAACTGTTATCAAAACGTAGTGCAACTGTAGAAGCTTGCTCTGTTGTCTCACTGAAAGAATAACTTTTACCACGTTTTTTCAGACAATATTGAGAGATAAATAGCAGCAGTTCTCACTATGTGTTAAATATCTTTGCCTTCAATACATTAAATTAGAAAGCTGACAAAGTCATATTGCTTGTTAACAATAACATCTAAATGTAACTTTTTGCATGGATAAAACCCTCAACTTAACTGATGTGTAGGTGATCTAGTATTTAGTATTGTTTAATGGAATGTATATCAGTGTATTCAAGTCAATACTTCATTCATTTAAACCAATATCTTTCTTGATTCTTTGTACAGTATGAACAAAAGAGTCTTTGTACCTGTGCTGAAGTTCACTGCTGTGAGGAGTCCAGTTCTGTCTCTCACTCTCTGGTCCAGCCTGCCTGCATCACCTGGACACCTTAAACAAACAGATATATATATATATATATATGTAAAGTACCATGTGTACAAACAATATAACTGATTCTCTTCTGTTGAACATGTTGGATTGTGTATTGTCCGAGTCAGGGTCCTTTTTATTTTACTGTAACTTTGGAAGTTGTGTTACCAATGCTTACTGTTTATTTGATACCCATTTGGTAATGAAATTAATAAAAACAACAAGGTTTGGGTTCGTTCTTCAGATGACTGTGACGTTAACGTGTAAGCTCAATAATGCTCCAGCTCAACCAACCATATTGTAATATCTAACTAATCATCTTGAAATATGACATTAATTGTAATATACACACATCTTATTGTGAGGTTGATTTCACATACACTACTTCGACGTTAGCTTGTCTACATACTTGAGCATAGCCAATTTAAAATTAACCTTAGCGATGCATACAGTTCTACCTACATAATAAAATATCTCTCTAAGTTACAAGGATGTAACCTTATTTTATCAACCTCAAGCAGAAGCCGTTTGTTCTACAGTATTATCCCACTTAACGCTTAACGCTTGTCTATTTCGTTCTAACCTTTATATACAGTCTATGATTTTAACTTGTAGGCTACGATTAGCATCGTTAGCACCGATGTAGCTACCACTCGCTTACAACTAAACCAAGCCTTAACATTCATTACGTAGCCGATTAAAATCATTAACACATAAATAAGTACTCGAATTTCACTTACCGCAAAACCGCATTCATGCACCGTCTGTTTTAACCGCAGAGCGAGTCACAATAGTCCGATATATAAGCATGAAGAACAAACAACCACGGCCAGCTTCAAGTTGTGTTCCCTGGATGAACTGAGCAGGCAGAGTCCCTGTTGCTTCACGGAGCAGGTAGCAGAGAGACAAGAAGCTAGCAGCAGCAGTCACTTGACAGAGCCGTCACTCAATGTGATCACCCTCTAATTTATGCAAAAACGTTAAGACCTAATATAAATAAAAGGGTCGTGTTAGAAAACAATTCACTCACAGATCCATAATCATGAAGGTTGAACCTAACTGTATTCATAATAATATTTATTGCATCCATGGGTAGAAACATGTTTTTTTCTGCTGTAAAGTTGGGCATTTTAACATGGGGGTCTATGGAAATTGCTCCTTTCTGCAGTCAGTCCCTATCGGCCAATATATGAACTGCAGTGTGTGGCACTTCCGTATTGGCGTCCCGGCTCTTCCCCAGAGTTTGCCGCTTGGGTTTTACACACTTTCGCATTTTGCACCATATCTACCTTCATACCCGCCCCCTTACTGTGTATCGCTCACTGATTGGACGATGCAGTGCATGCACTGATCTGTTGCTTCTTGACATGAGAGCAGTTTCCCAGCGGAGTGAAGAAAATACATGAAACTCACGAGAGTCACTCCTCAGTTTATTCTGTGTTTTGTTTCAATTAATGTATAATTTAGTTACAAATATGTGATATATCTGAACAACAAAGTGGTCAAAAATGCTAAAATCATTTTATTGATTTATTGGAAACATTTTCATGATCGCTTTTTTCGTTTTACATTTTCATTTATTGTCATTTCCATTCGGTCAGTCATTATTAGTGTTCTGACACCATAGTGTATTGGCACCCCCTAGTGGCAAAAGTCGGTACTGTAGCTTTAAGGCACCAAATAGCGCGACTCTCCTTCTTGTGTTTTAGTTTACACAGCAAAGCCATGCAGAGCACATCGTAGCTCAGTTCTATGCCACAGATCATTTTGTTTTAATCCTTGGAGTAGATCTGTCTGTAAGTATACAAACTTACCTGTGTGCCAAGTTATGTGTTTAAAAAATGTGGTTTAATTGATTGTGTGGTTTCAATGTTTACGATTAGCTATAAGCTAACTAGCTGCTAAATTAACGGACATAGCTCATTCTTAGCATAGGCTGTTGATTATACTGCACTCTATTTGCATTATGTTGCACATGCATTATTTCAATTGTGTAACTTGTGTTGTATTTTTCTGTTTATTCTTGCAGTTTTACAATTTCAAGCCTCAGTAAATGGTCAACTCAACAACTGTCTTCTGAGTCTTTGTTCGCTATCTGTTAAGCTATGCAGTGCGATGCATACGCAAGGGCAGAATAATTAGTACTATTTAAAATGTTAATTTGCTACATTTCCACACAAACAAACTGTGAAGTCCAATGAATGTTAATCTAACTGGGTTTTGATAGATAACATATCTCTTTTTCTTCTCTCAATTATTGTATTTCTATTGTGCACTATAATCAATATTAATCCAACTAATGTTCGTTTATGCATTTTAAGAATGGCGTTTATCTTTTTTGAGTAAGAGTTCTTATTTTTATTTAATGTATTTGGGTCTAAACAGCAACAGATGATACAAATGTTTAGTAAATATGTACTAACAGAGGCGGGGGTGTTTGTGAAAACAACGGGGACAGAGGAGCTGGCTGCTGTCAGACGAACAGCTGTGCGGCGTCATCACAAATGGACGTCGCTTCACGTGACGCTCCGGTGGAAAGAACGTCCCATTGCTTTTAAAACTAATTTCCCTGCAAAAGTTTTGTTTTGACAAAAGGCGGAGACTAGTGTTGAAACTAGTGGAGACACGATCAAGATGCCACCTTGTCCCTCTGATTAGACGGCATGTTAAGTCAGGAAGTAGCATCATTAGTGATGAGTGGAGGGCATACAGGAGAGTGCTGAGGAACATGGGGTACAACCACTGCACCATAAACCACAGCAGGTGGTTTGTGAACCCCCAGACTCGCAGTCATACCCAACATATAGAAAGAGCTTGGTCGACCGTCAAAGGACATGTCCGTAGACTGAGAGGAAACCGTACAGAGAGTTTGTTGGAGGAACACCTCAAGGTTCTTGAATGGTCATCTTGGCTTGGCTCTGCTCACCCTGATGGACTGCTTGGACGCTTGTTCAAGGATATACACAAAGTCTTTCCAGTCCGAGTACAATTTACCAAGTCTTTCATTTATGTCTGAGAAACGCTTTTATGTTTAAATATGTGTATCAGTCATACTAAAAGTCATTACTTTGAGTCCTAATTTTCTTCATGTGTGAATAAAATGTTTTGCTTGGTTCTGTTGCATCTTACTTTGCATTTCATGTGAAAAATGTGTATTAGGTAAGTGTGAATGTTATAACTCATTCATAAATGGACCCTTTCAGTAGTTATAAATGTTAGTGACTCATTAATAAATGGGAATGGGTTTTACACCTTACAATAAGGCTCCCTTTTGGCAGTTATAAATGTTAGTGACTCATTCGTAAATGGTCATAAGAGATGCCAAGAAACATCCAGATGGAAGGGGGGGGGGAAATCAACTCAGTGACCAAAAGATACCAAGGATGCTGGCTGATGAAGAAGACGAGGTAAACTAGGTAGCCAATATCAGACTTAGCAGTACAGATAAATGTGGGCTCACTATTTGGCAAGCAACCGGTCACAGTTGCCCTGTTTCTCTCATGTCTTATAAAAGCTTATTAATGATTTATAAAGTGTTCACAACCTAATTAATAAATTACAAACGATTCGTAAACCCTTTATAAGGGTAGTCTTATTGTAAAGTGGTACCAATAAATGTATAGAGATAAGTGTAGAAAAAGTTATATAATCTGTCAAAGCAACAGGATAAGTCAGAGTGTAGCTTTTTGAAAAATATGAAACAATTTTAAAGGTGTATTGTATGTCGAAAGAGTCATAGCTGTTTTTTTAAATTTTAGATAATGTTATTAAAATGCTTATTATTAAAAAAAGGCTCATTATTTTCTATAAGACTGCAGTGCTGACTAGCATCCAGAAAGCTCAGATCCTCCTTCAGTCATGCAACAGAGTGTGGCTGTTAAAATAATAAAACACAAACATAAATAATAAACAAAACTTAAAGAAACAAAATGTCAAACAGGGTTCAAATATGTTCATTGTGTTTAATTTCCAAATAACTGATGGCAAAATGAGAATATTTACAAGGAGGGAAAAATATGTATGATCTGTACAAAGAAATAAACTTGCAAAGATAAAAAACAAATAGCAAACATGTAATTTATGAAACAAACATGACAAAAATGACGAGACGATTAAAAAAACAAGCCTATTCGAGGCATCCAGTCCAAGTGTCCTTGTGAAATGGCCTGTGCACACCTTTAAAAATAAATAAAAAGGTAACAGCGGACTAATTTCTCTTCGAGGTCAGTTGAAAAATGCCATATTAGAAAATGGGTATAGTTAAGTGGTTATACCAACGCTATCTTGACTTTTAATTTCCCAAAAAACTATAAAAAAACATAATTGAATTGCTGTTTTAGGGTACTTTTTGTGAATTTATGGAAGGAACATTTTGGCAACAATCTCTATCTGTACATAAAGTCAGAACACCATTTAGTAAAATGATGAAAAATCTCCTATTTAAGTCTTAAAATAAAATGGCAATGCTAATTTTCTGTGACAAATAAATCTCTTTCTTAACTCCCCTGCCTTTTTCAGAACGGGCAAATCAAAGTGTTTAACTCGTGTAAACAATCATCTCACGTGGGCATCCGTTACCTGCGATAAAACACATTTCATTAAGTACTATAAAAGCTAGAGCGACTTTGGTGTACCAATACTACAGAGGCATACAGTAAAAAAAAAAGAAATGTATTTTAGTTCGAACCGCAATGATTGCAAATGTGTGACCTCTAACACGGTCTGGAAGTCGTAACACAAAATAAACACAAACTACCAGCAGTGCTTGCAGTACCAAGTACATGCTTTTCTCTAGATTTATTACAGATACAACAGATGTCTTCATAAATAGTTGCATAAAATGTTAAAGCCGCAACATTGCACATGATAATCAAACATAACATACAATGAGTGCATTTACAGTAATTTCTCTTCCTCTGCCTCCACATTCACTCCCGTCTGATTCGCCGCCACTGAACGCCGTGAAAAGTCTTGCGTTCCGCCCTCCGAGGGGGGGGGGGGACCCCGCTGTGAATGTGAGGGGAAAGAAGGCAGAGGGCTATGTATATACAAGGTAAGGCTTAAACATCTCATATCTGCGCAACACAAGTTTTGTTCTAGGAAAAGCAAACGATGGATGTCTGTTGTTCTCAGATCGGAGAGTGCAGCATCGCGACATGATCATCACCGTATCTTAGATTTTAGGTACATTATATAAGCGCAGCCATCAAAAAGCTCTGACGTATAAATGTCTCAAACACCTCGGTTACCGTCTCCGGGCGTCTACAGCGACTTTTTCTACAATGGATTCCTTTTCCTTGGAAATGTAGAGACAGTACTTTTCCTTTTTTATACATTGTTTCTATAAGAAAGGGCTGCTTCTCAAAAGTCTTTGAAATGCAGTTTAGTGTAAAAGAGCACAAACACACAATGTCTGTGTCCCCCTGGCAACAGGAGGGGGGGCAGTTTGCTCTCCGCGTTGAGGCTCCTTCAATCGGCTCCTCGGTCAGCTCTAACTCTTCAAATGGAAAATAAATAACTTTTTTTGTTGTTTTTTTTGTTCACTTTACTAGAAAATCTGTTTAGAGTTGAAAGCAGCAAGCAGCAGTAGACAAGGGCATCCGTTCATTTACGTGATTGGTGAGAACTTGGTTCTCGAGGACTCTGATTGGTTTAGACCTACAGGTCTAATTTGTGAAAGGACTACAGGACTTTAGCAACATTCTGTGAAAGAGGATCAGATCAGCATTCATTATTTCTAGCTTCTACACCATCAAGATGCTCCAATCCAGAGGAGCCTGCAGCCCCCAGAGGACAGCCCATACAGGACAGCCCCTAGAGGACAGCCCCTACAGGGCAGCCCCTACAGGACAGAACATAGAGGACAGTCCCTACAGGACAGCCCCTAGAGGACAGCCCATACAGGACAGCCCCTAGAGGACAGCCCCTACAGGACAGCCCCTACAGGACAGCCCCTACAGGACAGAACATAGAGGACAGTCCCTACAGGACAGCCCCTAGAGGACAGCCCCTAAAGGACAGCCCCTAGAGGACAGCACCTACAGGTCAGCCCCTACAGGACAGCCCCTAGAGGACAGCCCCTACAGGACAGCACCTAGAGGACAGCACCTACAGGACAGCCCATACAGGACAGCCCCTAGAGGACATACCCTAGAGGACAGCCCCTACAGGACAGAACCTAGAGGACAGCCCCTACAGGACAGAACCTAGAGGACAGTCCCTACAGGACAGCCCCTACAGGACAGCACCTACAGGACAGCACCTAGAGGACAGCACCTACAGGACAGCCCCTACAGGACAGCCCCTACAGGACAGCCCCTACAGGACAGCCCCTACAGGACAGCCCCTACAGGACAGCAGGGACGAGGGTTGGACTTTAAACTTGAGGCTGCAGGCGGCTCTGGATGAAGCTCCCGACTCCCCCGATGGCCCGGGCGTCGGTCTGATTCTTCCTCCTGTCGATGAAGGAGATGAGGCGGGACGTGTCCAGGCAGCCCTCGGTCCTGGCCCGTTCGTCAGAGGGTTCGTCCTGCAGCCAGGGCTCCTGGAGGCAGAGCACGGCTGGAGGTCTCCGTCCCGGGTCGGTCCTCAGCAGCAGGCAGATGAAGTCCCGGGCCCCCTGGCTGACGCCCTGGAAGTAGTCCCTGGGGAAGCTGAAGTCCAGCCGGCAGATGTTCAGGCAGGTCTCCTCTGCGCTCTCGTCCAGGAAGGGGGAGGCGCCGCTCAGCAGTACGTAGGTCACCACGCCCAGGCTCCAAAGGTCGGAGGTCAGCGACACCGGATCTCCAAGGACCAACTCCGGGGAGGCGAACTCAGGGCTGCCCAGCAGGGGGTGGACGTAGAGGGCGCTGTTGAGCTGCACCGCGTCACCGAAGTCTGTGAGCTTCACCGCCGGCTGGCCGCTGGCGCTGTGGGACACCAGCAGGTTCTCAGGCTGGAACAGAGATGAGTCACATTAACACCTTCAGTCTGGTGACATTACATCAGCTTTATACAAAGAGACTTAGAGAGGACATACAACGCTCATTTTCATTCCAAGTTTTAATGTTCAAAAAGCTATTTATTTTTCTATTGAGAGGATGTTTTGCAGCTCCTCTCATTTTACACGTTTTAGCTTCATGGTACTCCTCTCTACTTTCTATAAACTGTGGACATGCAGAACGCTATCTACCGAGTACAGGTACCTGATACAACCTCACTTCAAACAATGGGAAGTATCCCTTTAAAAGGTCTTACTTTTATGTCCAGATGCACTATCCTGGAGCTGTGCAGGTACTGTAAAGCTTCTAAAATGTCCCTCAGGTAGCAGGCCACTTTCTCCTCCGTCAGATTCCCCCAGCTCACGATGTAGTCCAGCAGACGACCTTGGTCAGCCCTGGAAATAAAAAAACACAAAAGAAACAATCAGATGGAAGAAAGGCAAAGGTAGATCAAGGCTAATGAGCTACGTAGCTATTAGTTAAAGACCCCGTGAAGTGTGCGCCTGTGCATGATCCGTTATGCTAATACGTATAGTAATGACCAAAATTGTCCATTGGAACCCATATCAAAAGATGTTGGAATAGCAACGAATTTGACGAGTTTTGAATTTGCCGCAGGGAAATCCGCAGTTGACCTCCGCCTTCGTGGGCGTGGCTTGCAATCTACTGCGTGACGTCACGAGATGGTCGCCGCCGAAGTGTTTACATTCATCACAGTTTATTGTTTCTCTGTTTCAAAGTCGAATTTATCAAAGTGTTTGAGCGAGTATTTTACTGGAAAGTGTGTCGGAGTCGACTGGAAGTGATTGCCAATCGAGAAAACCTGACAATGGAGGCGACAGTGAAGAAAAAGGGCGGAAAAACACACGGGAAGCGATGCATTGCCGCTGGCTGTATTAATGTCCAGTCTGCCGAAGTGGCGATGTTTCTGTTCCCAAAAGATGAAGGTGAGCCTGGCTGGTGTCATTGTTTCGTAGATTCGTTGATTGTTCATGACAAATAAAGGCCACTGGTCGATTCGAGAGAGAGAGAGAAAGAGAGACTGAGAGAGTTACAGGGTTGTTGTTAGCATCTGGTGCTAGCTCGGAGCTAACGGAGATTAGCTGTTTCAACAATAAGGAGAGGGAGAGTCCTCTCCTGTGGGACTGAGAGAGATAACGTCAGCTCAGGGAGGTAAAGGACTCTGAGTGATTAGATTGTAAACTGTAGCCTAAGTTATCTCAGTGGGTTTAATAATTTAATAGTTTAATAATACTCTAGCACATGACATGTACATAAGCTAATTATTTCCCAGAGGCTGAGCCCAAGCAGAGATTTTAAACAAGGCAAAGGACCCTTCAGTCTTCACGCCCCCCCCCCCCCTATTTTCCAATCGACAGTGACAGCACAGTCACTGCTAACCTGCTAACCATTCAGTGTTCTGTAGCCGGTCAATGTCTTCCCCATCGTCCATGTCGTCGCCATCATCCTCCCCACTTGACGTCACTGACGGCTCAAATCTGTAGGGTTCAATGATGTCCTGCGCTTCCTCATCGTCACTTCCATCTTCTGTGCCACTTTCCTCATCTATCCTGTCAAAATCAATAATTTCTCTCGCACTTGTATCACTTTCCAAAGTCTCCGCCATGTTTACAATCACAACAGGGCCCATCTTGTGACGTCACAGCCGCTATCGTCTGCAACTTCCGGTAGGCTTAGACGGCCGATTTTATTAAAATTAATAATTAAAAATTATTTTAGCCATGAACAGGCACAATGATATGTAAGGAATGAAACTGCCATTTCATTTTGGCGCAAAAACATGCACTTCACGGGCACTTTAAGGTCCAAATGTTGTGCTCACATTTCCAGGACGAGGGCGTAGCTGCTGGGGGTTTCGTACGTGTCGATCAGGCCGACTATGTGGGGGTGCTGCAGCCTCTGGAGCAGGTTGAGTTCCTGCGTGACCCGGTCCCTCCTCATCAGCTTCTTGTTCACCTGTTTGACCGCCACCAGACGCTTGGAGCCCCGCTGGTCACACCGCTTCACGACAGAGAAACGACCCCTGGAGAGAAGAAGGAGGTTGGGTGGTTTACTTCAGGTTGTAGGCGTGAAATACAATTATACCAAGAAAACACTGAATGTTACTAAAATGAAGGTGAGTCTATTACCTGCCCAGTTCAACCACCTCAGTGTAGTGAGACTCAAAGTTGTCTTTCCAGCTCACTCTGATGCCGTCAGTGGACACTGCTGGAGACAGATAATCAGATTATGTCCACACTGATAATGAGCTCTGTGCATTCTGTATATGTGACCTGCTCTATCAGAATCAGCCATTTCGACTGATATACAGGACGAATTTGAGTTGAGATCCTTAGCTTTCCAATGACAACATCAATTCTAGTCCTTCAAAGCTGGCTGATAATATATTAGCCGTAGTTTCTTTAGCTGGGAGCGCAGGGCTTAATATTATGGGGCACAGTCCCCCTTGCCCCCCTTAGGACCGCCACTGGATTAGCTTTAATCAAGAGGTCTTTGTAAATCTATATCAGAGCTTGTTAGGAATCCATCCAAGGTATTGACTAGGCTTACTCATTTGTGATGTTTTTTTGTATCAAAGTGAGGAGACGGTGATTGCTGAACACCCCGTCTTTACGAGCTTCAAAAATGTATTTATCGTCTTGATATGGCGACAAAAGTGCAATATTGTTTATTATCCACCAAAACCCCCCAAAATATAATTCCATGATTCCCTCGGAGTATGCCGTTGCGACACCTGACAGATCTCGATAGAGCGAGTCACATGTAGTGTTTGTTCTTACCTAACACTCTGAGGCTAGCGGATGACGTGACGCTGCCCAGCTCGTTGGTGGCGACACACGTGTAAACGCCGTCATCCTCAGAGGAGACGCCGATTATCCGCAGCGTTGCTTCACCCGTATCACTGAAATAAACACATCTCATTTCATTTCTTCTTCAAACATGAGTAAGCACATATAAGTCCTTTTGCACAGTGATATTCACGGATTGGAGGACAAAATGCTAAAACATGCACCTGGTGTGTTGAAAGTATACTTGTCTCTAGGTAGTCTAAAAATATTATTTTAAATATCAAATAGCTCTCAAACACCCCCTGAAATGTCATATTTCTCATGTCCCTCCTATTAGAACAACTTGCATGTCAAAAATAACATTTAAAATAGGCTTTAATCTATTATGTTGTTGTTATATGTCTCCTGTAATGGTCAAAGCAATGTATTCCATCATATTGCCACCAGGTAGCCTAAGCGTGCTAACACTGCAACTTACAATTTTTCTTTCTACATAGTTCCAAAAATGAAAGGGTTTATTTTTCAAGTTTTGATGTTCTAAATTGTCCTCCAATTCTGGAATGACCCATAAACCTTAAAGACAATCAGTCCGATGGAGTTTTAGCAACATTGCCTCCCAGATATGAACTTGTTGTGAAATGTCCCCTCACCTGTAGGCAGTGCTGAAGTGTCCGTTGTTGCTGAGGTTGCTCTGGTCGGGGCCCTTCCAGGTGACGGTGGGCCGGGGCCGACCGCAGACCTTACACCTGAGGGTGACGCTCTCTGCGTCGTCACACGTCACGTCACTCAGAGGCACAAGGAACTCTGGGGGAACTGGAGGAGCAGAATAAAAGTCAGAGGTTAAATACTGGGTCTTCAAACGGAAAGGCAGCTAAACAGTGCTGTATAGTTTAGTTTCTCCCTCTCGACAATCATTAACAATTTGCTTAATTGTTTTGTCATATTTTAATAAACCATACAATGACACACTTACCATCATAGATGTAGTTTGGATTTAGAAGCTAAAAATAAATAAAAGAGTACATGTTAGAACCATAGGAGCGTAAACATGACTTGAGACTTAACATTTCTTAGATGTACAGATGAACTCACCTTTACAGAAACTTTATTGGACTTCCTGTAACCGTTTTCCAGCTTGGGGTCTTTCTTCGCCTCCTTATCCTTCTTCTCTGATTTTTTCCGCATGCGCAAGGTGTGCCAGGACGAAGACTTCCTGCTGGGACATCAAGATGAAGCGGGTTAAAAAATCAAACCAAGCAGCAAGTGGGGTACTAAAACATCTTTATTGATTTATTAGAATGACTATTATTGCAGGTATTTGCATTACAAATGATCTGTTTGTCACTTGATGCATTCATCCTGCCGATTTTGTTATTTTCTTTATCTACTTATTATGCGAATAAAACCAAATAAATGAAACCGAGGGAAAAAGACTTGTGATAATAAGTACCGAATCATCAAATTGTCAATATGAATGAACTATTTTAGATAGATAAATGCATAGATAGATAGTTTACTTATCCACATGTGGGGAAAGCTGCCTACCTCAACTAAACATGGAGAAGCAGCGTTCAGTTATCATGCTCCAAATATCTGGAACAAACTCCCTGAAACCTGTCGGTCCGCTGCAACTCTGACTACTTTCACATCCAGGCTCAAGACTTTTCTTTTTGCAGCTGCTTTTAATTGAACTATTCACATCTTAAACTGCACTGTAACTTTTATTCATGTATTTTTTCTTTTAATGTTTAATTTATTTTCTTTGCTTTTTAATGACTGTTTTTAAATGCCATTTTCTTAATGTCTTTCATTTTCGTAAAGCACTTTGAATTGCCTTGTGTTGAAAGGTGCTATATAAATAAACTTGCCTTGCCTTAACTCATTTGACCTAATTATTCCTCAACATCTGAGAAGAGCAGTAAATATAATGCATCCTCCTATGATTTAAGAGCTCTTACTTCATGGATCCCTCGGGGCAGTCGGGCACGATGGCCGAGGTGTGTCCCAGCACGAAGCCGGGGATCCAGCCCTCGGCGGCGGGACCCTGCTCCGTGGCCGCTCTGAACACCAGGAACATGTTCTGCTGGTTGCTGGCCAGGATCTGGACCACCTCACCCTGACAGACGCTGATCTCATCCTCCTTCACAGCCATGTAGTCCTGGGTCACCAACATGGTGGATACGCTACTGCTGCTGCTGCTTTCACTCTGGGAGGAAACATGACATGGGAAAAACTGTGAGTAGGGATTCACTTTGTAGTCTGTCTGCCAGATCATAGAGTCATAATGTGAACACGGAAATGTTGTTAGAAATGTAGAGTATGGGTCCTTAGCACATAGAAACTGCTGGATGCTAACATGCGCATGTTGGGCATTTTGCACAATTAGCATTAGTTGCATTATCTAGCAATATAGCTTTTTTTGACAATAGTTACAAAATGGCTTGGCCAAGTTGGACAATTTCTGAGTGGTTTTCAGGTTATTGAGGAAGCTGAATCAATTTCTGCCACTTTCAGGATCCAAAATGGAAGCTTTAACCAAAAAGTGGCCATATGTGTACTCTGTGGGCTGATTTTGATGAATTTTCACTCGATGTATTTTTGAAGTTTTAGGGGACTTTGGATCATCTGGATTGGAGCGATTGTTTTTCTATTTAAGAAATATTGTCTACAGTAGAGGTAATACTTTACATCTTGTGCTCTCACGTTTCTAACATAAAACTTTGGGGTACTCAACATTTCCGTGTTCACAGTGCTGGCAACTAGACTATGAGCCAGAATGATGCCAAACAAATCTAAAGCTAGTACATTCAGTGAATAAATGTGAGAGAAAAGGTCAAATCAGGAAGTAGATGTTTGATTAATGTCCACTTGATTTAGTCTTCAGAAAGGATTAGAGTGAAGTGAAAGACAAACAAACGGCAAGTTATTATTTTCTTGAAAAAACAAACAAAGATCTGTGTGAAGAAAGGCAGGAATAAGATGAGGATTTTTCATTTCACTCGTCTTTGCTCTGCAGCTCTGGGCAAAGACGAGAAGAAGAGCGTTAGGCTGAATGAGAGGATCTCTGTTCAGTGCGTTTGTAGGAACACCACAAACGTCGGAGGTTAGTTGAAGGAAAAGTACATTTCAGAAACACACCATGAAGACAGCAGCAGGTGGAGGACGGCCAAGAGGAAGTCAGGTGTTAGTAGAAGCTTTGTTAGAGTTTAGAAATCTAGAGACAGCCTGGAAAAGGAATCACTGAAGAGCTGATTGAGCTCCACTAGAGAAGGGTTTGAACCCAGAAACTAGAGAAAGAGAGGATGATGCTGAGGAGCAGGCTGTCAGAGATTAGTAGCACTGCTGCAGCGAACAGGAGACAGACAGGCGGACCGGCCTCCCTCTGGGGGGGGGTTAGTTGGTGCCGCTCTTACCCCGTTGCTCTGGGTGGACTGGATGGACTGCTCGCTGGCCGACGAGCACGTGCTCATGCGGTCGGCCTCCTTGCTGTGCGTGGAGTGTCTGTGGCTCCCAGATCCAGAGCCGGTCTGGACCTGGGAGGAGTTCTGCCGGACCGGACTCTCCCCTGCCTCCCCCGGGAAGGTGAAGGAGCCAGGCCGGCTGGCTGGGGAGCCCGGCATGGAGCTCCAGAACCCAGATCCGGTTTTGAGGCCTGGGCTGGGAGGGGGAGGAGGGAGGCCGTCCTTACCGAAGGCAGGAGTGGCCAGAGGGGGGGCCAAGGGGGACACGGCTCCTGGCCGCGTTTTGGAAGTGGGTGTGGAGGGCAGGGGCCCGACGGTGGCGCGGGGAACAGAGGCTACAGCACTGGCAGGAGGGGGGGTCAGTGTTGGGTCCTCAGGGGTCTGGAGGGGGCGCTTTCCCTGGGGGCTTCCCCCCGTAGGGGGGGCGGGAGGAGGGGCAGGACTTGGGGACGAACCTGAATCATAAGTGAGCAGAACTCACACCTCAGTCAAATCCTTCATTGTGCGACACCAAAGAAATGTAAAAAGACGGTTCGTACCTGACATCTTGTTGGGGCCGTCGGGGTCGGGGGGGTGGCGGAGGGGCTGGGGCAGGCGGGAGGGCTGCGGGATCCTGGAGGGCCGGCGAGAGCCACCCTGGGGCCCTGAAGGGATGGAGGGCTGGGGGCTTTCACTTCCGACTGCAGGGGCCGCACTGCTGCCTCCCCCCGGAGCCCCAACACACGGCCCCCCACTGGCCCCCACATGGTTCCTCTGATAATCCATTGGTGAGGTCAGAGCTGCGATAAGATACAAAGGAAACCACAAGGGCGGCCATGTAACACAGTCCCTTCAATACAACACGACCTGTGTGTGTGTGTGTGTGTGTGTGTGTGTGTGTGTGTGTGTGTGTGTGTGTGTAAAATGAATAGGATTTCAGAGAAAACCTAACCAACTGAAACTTAGGGGCTTGCTCTGTATTTTAAAAAATATAAAGACGACGATAAAAAAGCTCCACTCTCTCATTGCTCAAGAAAAAAGTAAACGAGCAGCAGTGTTTTGCATAAAAGGTAGCCACTATTTCTTTTTTTTAGATAATGTTTTATGCTTGAGGGAGTTTTCTATCTGTTGGTGTCAAAAAAATCCCAGGAGTATGTTTGTGCAATAGACGGGGGTCCTTGAACACACCATCACTATGCTCCTGTATATCCGAAAGCTCCAGGCTATCTGTGGGCTGCTTTCCCTTACAGTGTGTGCGTGTGTGTGTGTGTGTGTCTGTGTGTGTGTGTGTGTGTGTGTGTGTGTGTGTGTGTGTGTGTGTGTGCGCGTGTGTGTGTATATGTATGTGTGTCAGCCTACCGTTGAGGAAGTTGCGTTGGCTCTCGAGGATCTGGCCGATCTGAAGGGTCCACACCTCGCGCACCCCTGGGTGGGCGGAGTGAAGCACGAAGGACTCCAGGGGGGCGTTGGTGGAGCGCGACGTGAGGATGAGGGTACAGAGATCAGTGTCCAAGCTCTCCTCCAAACCCAGACAGTTCACCTGCAGGGGGGGGGGGGGGGGGGGGGGGGGGGGGGGGGGGGGGGGGTGGGGGGGGGGGGGTCGCCGTTATATATACTGTACGTGGCCCAGGCAAATTTAAGTCATTAATGAGCTTGAGAATTTACCAATGGCATTCGTTTCTTTATCAATCGGTGTTTGAACTTGAATTTTCTTGACAGAATATTCCCTTTACTAAATAAACTACATTTTTCTTAGTATACATTTAAGTTCACTCAAATCATTGTCAGGATATTTAACAATGTTATATCTATGTTATATATATACATATATATATCCTCATATGGTGTAGCTCCAGTATCTAAATGTGACTCCATCAAGTTTCTTTTTATGTTTCACAGGCTAGTTTCTCCACCAGAGAGAGCTATAAACCCTTTCACTAATGTATAGATCCTTAATTCTAACATCCTTCCTCCTGACAACACACAGTACTAGTAGACATGTTTGCTCCTGATATGCATGTCTGTTACCTTGATGCTGTTCTTGTAGAGGAAGCCTGGTAAGGAGAAACCCTTCTTCTTGTCGAGGGGCTCACTGAAGATGACCACCTGCTCAAAGAGGAAGATTCTCCTCTCCTTCATCCGACCCTCGGTGTCGGACACCATGAACGTGTCCTGCAGCAAGAGGCGACCCTGAGCCACGATCTTCCCCTGGAGACGAAACAAGATGGAAAGATCAGGTAAAGAAACCAAGAGAACGATACTGACAATCGAGTTAAAATTGTTGTTACTAAGCAGTGGCGGTTCTAGAACATTTTACATGGGGTGGCAAGAGGTCACGCCAGGGTGGCATGGGAGGGCGGACAGTACGTGGTATTTTATACTGTATATAACCTATTTATTGTTAATTCATGCCCTAACACAAGTGTTCTTAATGCACAAGAGAAACAAGGTGTTCAGACAAACAATCGGGTGCCCTTTGAGTCCCCCAAGCTTACTTCAACCATTTTAAATGAAAGGAAACTACAAAATGTATTTTAAAGGAATGAGGTTAATGGAACAGGTTGTTTTGCATTACAATGTAAAAGTAAATATATATATATTTTGTTTTAAAAAAATGGGTTGTCTTAGTAGTAGACAGACATATTTGTATGTCCTCACTAAGCATTATTACATATTAATTTAATATTAAACAAATCAAAATGGCCACTCATCCCAAAAAGTTGCTGCTAATATAAATCATATGCTTGTCAACTTTAACTGCTCAAAAAGAAATTCGGAAAAAATATTTGAATTATCTATGAAATTGCAATATTGACACACATCCCTCAGTTTGTTTCAACCCCGTCACGCCATACCATTTACCCTCCTATTAACATAATGGATCAGTCCATGTGTCATCTGCATTGAGGGAATTACATCACAAAAGTCTTCTGAAGAAAATATGGCAAAGAAAGGCAAGTGTCAGTTTCTTCTCTTACCTATATTTCAGTTTTTGTATTGCCAGATTAAGATTGACAAGATCAACATTTCAACTGCATTAATAATAGTAAATAATTGTTTATTACAAAATAAACAATAGTTTTGCAAAATATTACAATTTTGTAATGTCCTTGACTTCCATGTGGTGCCATATCTTAGCTAGACAAGGTCTCATGGCTACTTTTTGTCAAAAACTTCAACTCTGTCACATTTTTTCAAGGAAATTCCTAGTAATTATTTTTACTTTGTGCCTGAGTTGGGAACATGTAACTAGTCCACTACCAGATGTTATGACTAAACATTTTGGTTTCATTTTTCAAAGATGTAAAGACCCAAAAGGCACCCGATTCAGAGAATACTCAGAATTCTGCCTACTGTAAGCACAGTCAAAGTACTTAGTTATAATTAAGTACACAAATGACATCACCCAGAGCTAAAGGTGACCTGTGCAGCAACACATTTCAATAAATATGTGTCAATACTAAGAGCTGCTAGATTGTGCTGGATTATGTAAGGAGAATAAGAACATACCATGTGGTTCAGCTGGAGTCTCATCTGCCTCCTGATCCCTGCCTCTGTCCCTCTTTCTGACACTTCATCTTTATTCCTCACATACATTTCTTCTTCTTCACTAATGTCTTCATCTCCTCCTGGCTTTCTTCTGCTCTGACCCTCCTGGTCTCTTCATCTCCTCCTGGCGTCCTCCTGCTCTGACCCTCCTGGCCTCTTCAGTGATCTCTCTTTTCCTTTTCCTCTTTCTGTTCGTCCTGATCACTTCTCAGATATGTCTTTTTGTTGTTGTTGACTCACTCCAGCTACTCTGGCCTGCAAGAGTCTACTTGGGAAAAGCACTGGTACAAATGCTAGTATAGCTTTACACGTTAGGGCCATGTAGCTAATAAGTAGCATAGTCTATAATCAATATAAAATCAGAAAGTATTTATCAAACGCACACAGGCAGCCGTGTTTAGACCCAGTTTGACGGTAAAGGATGTATCCTGGTTTAATTTATCTGGCCTCATGGCTGTGATGTGTAATTTACGTGGATTTAATAGTACCGCATAGTTTAGCAAATAAAAGTGATTGATCTCCCAGCTAGCGCTGTCTGTGTGGTATTTTGTATCGTAACGTCCCAAACAGCGACCGTCTGTTAAACGCTATCGATTCAAAAAGCAGCGTTTTATTAATATTTTGTTTCAAGCTCTCGTCTTTAGTAAAAACAAAACTAATGGAAGGGGAAATGCTCCCAGGGAAAGCTGATCCACCCTAGGTGCTGGGACAGCTCGTTCCCTCTCTGCAGCGGTGTGAGCCGCGGCCTGTGAACGCCGCTCCGCAGTTTAATGCAGGGCCGTAGCTACGTTTTTAACGGGCCTAAAATGATATTTAAAATGATTCACTTTTAATTAATGTAATGCTTGTTTTGTTGCTTGTGGAAATAGTGTAGGTTTGTTTCTACAAGTACAGTTTTAGGGAAACAAAAGTTAGGGGGGCAGCTGGGGGGGCAAGGCTCTACAGTGGGGGGGGGGGGCAGTTGCCCCCCCTTGCCCCCCGTAGATCCGCCCCTGTTACTAAGGTACAGAAGAACGTGTTTTTGATGGTCATTACTTACATCGTATCCCTGAAGGCGGCCGACATTCATCATGTCATTACATCTTTTTGGCACGATGCACATGACCTCCACTGCTTTCTGTAAAGGTCACAAGGGACTTCAGAACATGTTTGGTTTGATTTGATTTGAGTGATTTAGAAGAACAGTGTGATGCTCTTACCTCTAACTCCATGGACTCCAGCCCAGCCTTTTTAGAGTGTTTCAAGAAATCCTAAAAAAATAAATAAATAGTGTGAGTAATATAATGCATACTGAAGTGCAAATGTTTTAGTTTTAGGGCGAGATGTACATTTAAAGACAGCAGGTGACAGGGACATACTGTATTATATAAGTGCCAGTTAGGATTACAAGTAGAGATAAAACAACAGCAATTATTTTTTTACTATTCAGATATTTTTTATGGTCTGACCTGCTGATTTTCTTTCTAAAAAATAGAATTCACAGCACACACAAACATGTTGGTAGCTTTTCTGTCATCAAAATGCAAATTAAGTTCTAGGTTCATAATAAAATAATGACTTTAACAATGTCCTCATTTCAAAAGTGCATCAAGTAGGACCTTCTTTTACTCTTACTCAAACAAATACAAATTAAAATGCTCGAGGTTTAGTACTTTAAATTGAGTATTCATTGCAGTATATCCAACTTTGACACGTTATAGTTTCCCAAGAGAGAAACAGGTACAACTTAAAACCAAACACTTTAAATGTATTTAAAAGGCAGCTCTGGCGCCCCCTGCTGTATTGTAACACACAGACCTTGAGCAGCAGCTGGTACTTCATGATCCTCTGGACGGGCTTAATGAGCAGGTCTGTGATCTGCAGCCGCTGGCCCAGCCGCTGCTTCAGGTCCTGCAGGGTCAAAGGTCAGAGGTTACTTCAGAGACTGATAACTACAGGCAGGTTTGTAGCATCTGATGTGTCTCCAAGTAAAAAAACAGTGCCAAAATAATAGGCTCACACCTCAAAATAGGTGTCGATGTACTCTGAGACGATGTGCTCCGACTTGGGCTTGTTCTGACAGTACACTACGTACATGTTCAGTCTCCGTTCCTTGGTACGAAAAACATAATACACGATTAAATGTGTCCAAGCATGTAAAACATAAAGACACATTCTGAAATTGACTGCAGACGAACCTGTTTGAGAAAGAGCGGTCCCAGCCTGTCGGGGTCCTCCAGACATTTCTCCAACTCCCCGAGAAAGAAGCTAAACACATCAGAGAGAGGAGAGTTAGCTATAACATCTGAACAGGGAAAGTATTCTCCACATGTGTGTGTACGTACTCTTTGTGCCAGTCGTAGATCTGGTAGATGTTGCCAAACACGATTTTGTCTTTTCCCTTCATATCATCAGGGACACCCTCCTCCTTCATCCGAGTCATGTAGCCCTTCAGAAGGAAACAGTCACACATTAATAACAACGCGTCCTCCCAAACATACCACTTATGGATAACTGTGCTGATCAAGTGAGGGGATCCCGGCTTCCACCAATTTGCAGTGTAATTGGGGACAGTGGCTTACACTTTCACACATGGGTCTCCACACAGCCCCTTTCTTTCTTTTCCAAAATGTATTTCAATTCATGTATTTTTTTTCTCCCATTTATATTCGCATATCTTTTGTGTTTTATTTCTCTTTATGGATTGTGTAAATACAGCTAAATTGCATGTTATGTATTCATGTTATTATAAAAAAAGGGGTTAGGGTTAAAAATGTATAAATGTCCAAATGTAATTTATTTTGGTTACATTCATATTTTTTTCTGGACTGTGTAGATAACAGCTGACTTTCCTAAATATATTTGTATTTAAGAAGAAAGTCCAAATGTATTTATTCAGTTATTTATTTCCCTTTATTTTCTCATTTGTCTTTCATGTTTTCTTTTGTCAGTATGGACTGTGTTGATGCAGATGAACGGAAAGAAATAGACAAAAATGTGTATTTGTTTGTATAATGAAGCTGAAACTGAAATTAAAAACAAGTTAAAACAAACGGCGTGTCTGTAAAGGACAGGAAATGTATTGTACTTCCTCCATTGACCAAAAGCTAGTCTAAAATATAGGCTGTGCCACATACAGGAAAAAACAATTAAAAACACACTTTTATATTTCAGACAGTTAGTGATGTAAAAGCAGTGAAACAGCTGTTAAAGCGTCGCCTCACCTCCACCACCAGGCCCAGGTCTCTGATATAATCCCTCTCCGTCTCCACCAACTCCAGCAGGATGTAACTACAGCAAAGAAAAGAACAGACATCTGAGATAAGATTCAAGAAATCAGCGTCTGTGATATTTGTGATATAGAGATATGAAACAGACGTACTGTCTTTTCTTGAGCACGCTGTTCCTGCGTTCGTCCACCTCGTCCATGGGGGAGGAGGAGGAGAGGAGGGAGTTGTCAGAGGGGTTGAAGGAGGGAGAGCTGCTGTCTCCCTGCTCCACTGACAGAGAGCTGGGTCTGTCCTCCAGAGCCTGAAACACAGAGGAACAGAAGGTAAACAGTGTGTTGTATTCAGCTTCTCCACGTAGTCAGCTGATGCCACTCTTTCTTAAAAGTGAGTCAATCCTACGGAGTGAGAATGAAATAAATGACTAGTTTTATGTTAAATAAGTCTGGAGGTCATCACTCTATGATTGGGGGGGATTTCTAACTACAGCAGTGCACCGTTTGAAATGTTTAACACTTAATTAAATGCTTATTGAAATGCAAAATGAACATCTCTCAAGATCACTTCGGCAAAGTTCACACGGCAAGACGCACAGCTCAATTTTGATTTATTGAGTGGCCAATAATTGCTGGCTGGCCTGTGTGTGCAAAATAATGATGACACAGACGTAGCACTCCGCACTGTGTCGTACGGCTTTAGGCACAACTGAAGTCAGCATTTACAGATTTTTTTAAATAAAGTGCAGAGGAAGCCAACAAAGGTGTGAGCAGATAATGAGTTAGAGGATGCGGATAAAGAAACACCATTGTTTTAATTAAGGGTGTTTTGTGGGACAACTGGTGCTACTTCTGTACAGTAGCGTGTGTGGAGTGAATCCCAGCCAAAGCAGAATTATGACATATGTCGATAAATTCAGACTCCCTTTCATTGACAAAAACTAGTCATGGTAATTTAACTTTACAGTGTATGTACAAAGGGAAACAAAAGGCTTAGTGTGTGTTTGCGTTTTCCTCGGTCGTCCTACCATCTTGCTTTTGACCAGCTCTTCGATGGCGCTCACCAGCTCCGCGGCGCTGGGCGTCTCCGAACTGGAGGGACGGACCGACAGGCGAGAAGAGGTCTGAGGAAAAATACAGAGATGAGAGCGGAGAGGGGGACAAAACACAGCATTAGAACCCGATTCAAATACAATCTAACATCTGTTCCTTCATCTCTAGATCTGTACTTTGACTGGTGTTACTACATCTCTTCCTAGTGAGAAAATAGTGCCATTTAAAGACAAAACTTATACCTCATTTTAGGAGATTTATTCAAAACAATTGAATAAACAACATTTTATCTCTTAAAAAATGACGATATGTTTTACGTGAAACTTCTTGTAAATTGAAATAATCCATTAATAGATCGAAAAAGAAAAAGCTTGATACTATTTTAAGGTTAAAGATCCTGGTTAAGATTTATTTCAAGGTTAGTATTTACTTAAGTTTCGTTATAAGTTAATGTTATTTTTGTATTATTTGAGTTAGCAATGACTCAGTGAAGATGTTTGTTAAATGTTAAATGCTGTAGTCTGATCTCAAGTGAAACCCTGATGCCAGGAGCTCAAATCTGAAGCTTCAAACAAAGTATATTTTAAATAAACTTTAAACGTTAAGGTAGAAACATGAGGCTGAAATCGGGGTGAATAAAACTCAGAAATGGGAAGTAAGGTGAAATGTGAGAAAATGGTGACGGGAGAAGGTCGGGGGCAGAAAAAGTGATGGATCCCTTTTTGCTTTCTCTGGTGACGATGATCATTCTTTGAAATAAAGAGAGGATGCTAACAGATGGAAGAGGGATGTGCATGTATGTAAATAATAAATATAGTTCAGGAGAGTCTCACCCTTGCTGTGCTGTGCTTCAAGACTTTCCCCAATTAGGATGTCTGGGTGAGGCTGTGTGCCCTTCTGGCCTCGCCAGCGTTTAGAGATGCCAATTACTCGCATGGGTAATGAGGTTAACGCACAGAGGGTAAAAAACGGAGATGAGGACGAGCGGGCGGGTGAGGGAGGGGGGAGTGAGGGGGTTTGAGGATGATGGGAACAAAGGGGGGCTTTTGGAATTTTGACCTAAGCATTGGGTCATATTTAGATTTTTCATCCAGGGTTGCTGCCTGCTCTGCTGACGGGGATTTTCTACTTTATTCAACTTTTTCAAACATGCAGGAAAAAGCTGCAGTCTTTAGGTTCAAGGCGTTAAAAAATTCACAAATGAGGCATTAAAGCCCTTTTGATCCGTACTGAAACCGACAGAAAAAACATCCACATTGCCATTTATTAAGAGTTAAGAGCTACACGCGTCTTCTCTTTAGGCCCTAGCTCCTGTGCCAGGCGACTCTACAGCGGTGTGTTGTAGAAACAGGGCATAAGTCAAAATGAGTGAAACTAAAAAAAGAAAAAGATGGAAGGAAATAAATCTACACTAAAGAAATTCAGGAATCAGAAAAATACAAAAGTTAGGAAGAGTGACTTTCAGGGGACAGAGATAGGTGTTTTTGTTAAAAAGCTTAAATCCTTTCACTATAGAAAGTGTTGTTGGAAAAAAGAAAAGGGTTTAAGGAAGTTGCATTTAAAGCTGAGGAGCGGGGGAAAAAGGAATTAAAGAATTGATCAAGGGAAGAATCGGGGGAGAGCAGGGCATTTCAGATGGAGAGGTATGGAAACTGAGACAAAGCAAAGACAGGACATAAATCAAGGTAATGCTACAGAGTGGCAAACAGAAAACGATACAACCAGAAAACAAAACAAAAGAGAAACAGAAATTAGTGTCAGAGGAGCCTTCGCTTTGGTCGAAACTCGGAGTGCCTGAAACGATTCATTGCTTTCTGCAGACGGGAGAGCTTGATGCAACATGCCAAGATAAGAGTTATGCATAACAGAAACTACAAGGAGTCACTTCAAAAGTTTGTCAGGAAATGCGCTTTTTTTGGGGGGGGGAAAGTGGGAGACTGAGATGAGGGAAAATGTAACCTACAAGAACTTAAAATCATGAAGAAACAGAGCCTGAATAAGAAGTGTTTCATTTCTCTTAAAGAAGGTCATAAATGGCGCTTAAATTAACATGTTCCTAGGTCCAAACATATACATGATGTAGCGTCATTTACCCTTCAATTATACAAACGTCTATCAAATGTGATGGTTTGAGTCACTAATACGCTAATGACTCCTACTAATAAGTTGTTAAAGATGTCTTTCCTGTTGGCTTTTTTTTGTAAAAGTACAAACATAAAGCTTCTGAAGTTGATGGGACAAAACTCTCTGCCAGCGTCTCGGCTCATGTCACTATATATAGCTTCTCCAAGGATGAGCTCCAGAACAAAAGTCATTTCTGACCTACAATTTGAAGAACTCCGTGAACCTACTTTGCAGCACCAGAAAAGTCTAAAACAGTTTGTGTCCTAAATCCTAATTTCTCCACTGAGACTCTTCCTCCTCCCCCTGCTGCTGCTGCTGCTTCATCATCTTTCCCTGCCCGTCCCTTTGTCTCTGACACGTGTCTCCGCCCCGCTGGGACGTCCCTCTCACCTTGTCGTCCTGTGAGTCTGGCTGCAGCAGGCTGTGCTGCTGGATGGCCATGGGGGGGGGCAGGGGCACCGAGTCGGCCCCCTCCTCGCCCTCCTCCTCTCCGCAGCTCTGCATGCCCGAGGAACTGGACTTGGACAGCGTGCCGCTCGACAGGCCCTCGTTACGAACCCTCTGCAACGAGTCAGGTCATTTCATTCAGAAACAGTCAATATATAAAGTACAATCAGAAGACAAAATGGAGATTTGTAAGAAGGGACACCCCGATAAGGGTTAGGGTTATCAGCAGGTTTAGAGTCCAGACACTAAACGACAAGTTCATGTATTATTTTGAAACTTTTACAAGCTAAAAAACACCTAACACTAATCAAATACCCTACAAACTATAGGCTTATCTAACCTTAACTACTAAATGGCCCTTCAAAATGTTTTTCATCAGTGTTAACAGGGAAAATAATTATGTAAATTAAAGGCATTTCAGTATAGCTGTGATATATTTGGTTAACAGCTGCTGCCATAAGCTCGCTTTAAAGACAGACACCCTATGTGATAGGGTTATCCATCTTATTGCATACCTTTGGGCTTCTGCAGACAACACTGCATTTGGAACAGATGTTTTGCTTACCCTTTATAGTTGTATGTGTATGCAAGGAGGAATAAGTTGGGATAAGGTCATACAGTCTGTCATTCAGCATATTAACTACATTAAGGTGTTGTAAAATATATTATATTCAGCATTGTTCTTGGACCATGATATGGCACGTATGACTTTGTTCTGTTATTTATTTAAGTAAGTATATTGCACAGATGACCAAGTCTACATCACAAACTAAATGGAGACGTGATGACAGTGTGAAGTTGACACCCACCTCCTCCACAGTCTCGTCCTGAGGCGTAGCGGCGCTGTCGTCCGAGTCTTTCTGCGACCCCATCGTCATCTCGCCGCTCTTCCTCACGTCGCGGCTCTTCTTGTGTTTGTGGGCGAGCTTCTTCACGTGGCCGTCCGCCTTGCCGCTGCTTAGTCTGCGCACTGGGCTGGTGAGCCACTTCCGCAGCGTGTTACCTGGGAAAAACACCAACATTTAATTAATGTGGGGAGGAGACGGTAGAAAAAGGAGGTAGAGCCTTTGTTTAAAAATCTAAACAGAATTTATTAGTGAACATTAATTCATTTTCTTTTATTGAATTCTTATATTTAGAGCCTTAACGTTTATTGTTGTCGTAAGAAACAGCAGTAGACTACAGAAGCCCTGACAAAGGAAAGCACATTTGGGTGATCCATTTTCGTCTGATTTAAACTTTTTTAATGACTTGTAGGCAGAAGCAGGATCAATATATTCCAGGATAATCTTTTTTAAAGTTCATTTTATTGTTTTTATCTGTGAAACAGGTGGAAAGAAAAGTTCTGTCAGGTGATTTATTTATTTATTTGTTGTCAGGATCATTTTTGTTGTTTGTTGTTGTAATACTGACTTAGGCCACAAGAGGCCGAAGTGCACCACCAGCTATACTTTTAATTTCTCAATTCACTCTGAACAGAAGATATGATGTGTTTGGCAGGTTTTAAACATTACAGTCATGACTTCTTTGCTGAAATTAGTATTCCCTGTTTCACAGATAAAAAAATAAGATTATCCAGTTTCCTTTTTCATACCTATTCTTAATTCATAAACACGAGAGATATCACACTTCAAAAATAGATGACCAGATCGCTTTTTGGTCTCTTTCTATTACACCAGCACTTTTCAATAAGAGGTTTTACTTCAATATTGCCCGAGTGGAAAAAGGAGTCTCATGCTGCATGTTTTTTCGTAACATTGATGTGGTTGTGAGAGACCCTACCTGGTCTTTTGGGCCCCGGTGAGGTGTGGGAGCCGATGCCGTGACCCGGCTGCAGCGTGGCGGACGACCCCGGCATGATGGAGTCGTTGCTGCACACTGACAGAGTGTCTGGAAGACAGAGTATTTAAATAAGCTTTTGTTTCAGCCCATGAACTGGTGATATACGGAATATTAACCTGTACTGCTTCATTACATACGTATATTTGACCTCCCTAACAGACACTCTGTACCTTTGTGGTTGTAGATGCCCTCCATCTCCATGGATGAGCGTGAGTGTGCGATGCAGAGCATGGAGCAGGGCACCAGCCCCTCCATGGCGGGGGAGCGGTCTGTGGTGCGGACCAGGCACCAGTCCGGCTTCTCGTGGCAGCGCTCCAGAACCTCCACCGTCTGACCGCGGCGCACCGTCAGCTCGTTGCTGTTGCTCGCCATGAAGTCGTGAATCACCACCGTTAGCTCACAGCCACCGGAGAGCTGAGGGGGGGATTATCAACGTTATAATGATAATAAGATACGATACAATATGATGACATACGATACCATTCCTCATGATACAATGTGACAGAAACGACAACATAACATAAGATAAGATATCATACCAGATATGATATCAATAAGATAAGATACCATACCATATGATATTATACTATACAATATGATGGGTAAAACATAGAGCAGTTGAGTTTACGGATTGAAAAATATGACCAAAGTAGGTACATACTAGGGCTGTACGATATATCTTGTCGTGACGATAATCGCGTTATGCGCATGTGATATTCACATCGCAGGACGTGCAATTAAGTAGGCAAATTAACACGTCATGTTACAATTATTTTGCTGCATGCTACGGCAAACCACCAATCACAATCATTCTTGATCAGATCACAGAAGGATAACCGTGACTAAAACCCTTCATCCGGTTAAATATCGTTAAAAAAATACCAATTGTATACCATTAAAGTTCAAGAAAGGATGGTTTGCGGACAAAAAAAACTGTCTTTTCTTCAATTCCTGTATTTTTTCACATCGTAATATATAACGCAGGGGGAAAAAATATCGCAGTGTCAGTTTTTTCCAGTATCGTGCAGCCCTAGTACATACAATGCAGGTCGTAGACGTTTTTACATGGGTGTCTGACGCATAATTTCTGGTCATCAGTAGGTGTGTGTGTGTGTGTGTGTGTGTGTGTGTGTGTGTGTGTGTGTGTGTGTGTGTGTGTGTGTGTGTGTGTGTGTGCTCACCTTGTCGCTGTCCAGTGTGTTCTGTGAAGTGCGGGATGCCAGAGAGATGGTGTCTGGTTGGCTGCTGCCTTCACCCTGACTGTCCAGGTCCTCTCCGTCCCTAAAACACACACAAAATCATCAATAAAAGGTGCAACGAATTTCCGAGTTGGGCTCCACAATTACATTTAAATTGTCTTAAAATCGCAATATGGACTGATGCAATATTCAAATCACAGGAAGCACAATATTTGTTAAAGGATACATGTGGTAATGGTGGAGCTGCAGAGATATCTCGGCCTACAAATCGTATACTACTGACTTACAAAATAATAGTTTTTGCTACATATCATTACAAAACAATCCCCATTATAATTGTAATATATTTTCCAATGAGACGTATAATTCCAAAATGATCAGTCCCTCTAATATCGTTAAACATGTTGAGATGCAATATCTGCCAAAAGAAGCACAAGCAGTCATTTGTGCAGCCTTACGTAATTCAGAGTGTCTGTGATTATAATAACATCAGTTTCTTGCAGTGTCTCGTGTTTACCTTCCCCTGCCCTTGTGGTGCTTGGCGGTGGTTGTTTTGGGGATATGAATGGGCTCCTTCAGCGCTCCTCTCAGGTGGATGGAGCGCTCCTGAATCACCTCTCTGATGTGTTTGATCCAGTCCTGCTTGTTCTCGATGCTGGACGCCTGTTCGTGTTGAAAACACGTCGAGGGTTAGAGTCATCGGGAAATTCACTTTCTTTGGAATTCTTGTTTCACTCTGGGTGCTTCTCACAAGTCTGAATTTACCTCATCTCTTATCAACTCAATTTCAGATTATTTTATATTATAAAACGGACAAGTCAAATCAAGCAATCTGATTGGTTCTTATCCGTGATATAATGAGCGTATATCACGGGTAGAATTGTAGTTACTTTTCACAAGTCAGTATCCCTCCGCGTCTGAGAAACAGCTACAACCGTTACAACTGTTACATTGCGTCCGTTACGAAACTAACTAACATTTAAGGTTAACTTCGACCTCCGGGGTGGCCTTACGATGGAGGAGTGGATTGAGAAGTGCCTATCTCCAGAAAGCTCCTAAACGACGACATGCAGAGCTACGTGAAGAGCAGGTAGACCAACTGGAAAAGTACCACCATTCAAAAGCTTTCTGATGCGGGTCTTGAAACAAAGCAGAGACGTTATGAACGTTAGTGGCCACAGGTGCGAAAGCTCTCTCCAGAGCTACTGGAAGCCGAATCACGCCCCTTAGCTGTGATATAATGACCATATACCACGGCCTGTCGTGAGCTATTGCTTAAATAATCCTCTCCAGAACTGTGATTCCCAACAATCAACACCATGTCAGATTAACTCAAGTGGATATTGTAGTTTATATATAAATACTATCTATATTAATAAATAGGCGCGTTCACACCGGAGTACTTTTTCCCGTACTTTTCCTTATGTGAGTCTTTTAAATGATTATGCCTGTATTTTCTTTTCTTAAAAATCAGGTTCTAATAAGTCACTTTCCTACCATGATAGCACGCCAGAAAACTTTTCCAAGTCAATTTTTTATTGATATCCACTATAAAATCCTGTGGCGTCCCATCCCCTTGCTTTTTACTGTTCATTTCAACCATTTATATGTTCAGAGATTTAAAAAATGTATCCATTACTGTGGCTAAGTTAACGTTAGCTTAACAATTTCCACTTTTTTTAACAAATGCTTTATCCTATTAGTTATTTTACATATAACAGTTTATTAGCATTACTTTAGCTAACTATATCAACTGTATGGCTAGTTAGGAATCACTGTCTAAAATATTTCACTTTACAATCTTTCATTAGGTTTGAAAAATGGATTTATTTTATGGGTCACATGTGCTGCTTTTGATCATCTAGTTCAGGGATGGGGAAATGGTGGCCCGGCAGCCACCATTTACCGCAAAATAATCTGTGACACGTTTGTGTGTATTGTGTTTGTTTCCCGGGGAAACACTCACAAGAAACACCGGCTGTTGTTATGCCTGCTGTGACGTTAAGTTACCGCCTTTACAAGCTTAAAAGTTGTATTTATCATCTGAATTTGGCGAAACAAGCTTAATATTCTAAAAACCAAGACTTTGTTTATTTGAAATCAGATGAAAACAAACTGTCACGGACTCTGCCGTGTTATCTATGATTACTAAACGCTTTTCATTCATAATTTGAGCGGGAGGGAGGGGGAGCGCTGCTAAGGAACAGCAGAGACGGGTGTCTGTGTTGACATTCCCCTTATTGTGGAATAAGGGGAATGCAGACAGGCTACAAGTGTCTTAGGTTCAAGTTAGACAACTAATGTCTGGGTTAGTGTTCATGACTTCATGTTTATGTCATCTTAATGGTTAATCTCAATGCACACACATTTTCAGTGCTTTCCAATAGTTTTATTCCACTGTTAAATAACCTGTTCAATACAAACATGCCACTTGTGAAAATTAAATAACATTTCTGTGAACTGATATTTGTTTAGTGAGCTTATTAGAGAATGTTCCCTGAAAGATTTTCAAATGTCAATGAAGATGTCAGACTTATGGCGCATTTCCACTGCAGCGGGTAGCCCCGTTTAAGCGCCCTTAAATCGTCCTCAAGTGGCCAGGCCAGTTTTTGGTGGCCTTTCCATGTAGCATAGCACCGGCTAGCGGGTACTTTTTCCGGCCCCATAAAATCGTGGTTCTATCAGGCCAGGGCCAGGGCTGAACTAGTGACGTCAACACTCTCGACTGCTGATTGGTCAGAGAGAATCGTCACAAGATCGTGCGCGAGATCATCCCTAGTGTCGCATATATATCTAGAAGCAAGCTTGCAGCATTTTTATACACAGCATTTTTGTAAACGGAGGAGCTACAAAAATGGCAACGTCAAAGAAAAGCACACCGTGGTCGACCGAGGAGGTGACGACGTTCCTACATCTCATTGGGGATGATCAAATCCAGCGGGAGCTCGACGGAACAACGCGAAATGGGAAAGTGTTCCAGGATGTCTCTGCACAGATCACCCCGCCTACACTGCGTTGCTACCCCAGGTCCTAAACTGTAATGGAAATGCGCCACGGCCTCGGACGGCCAGCGAGGCAGCCCGAGGCCTGAGCGAGGACGCTTAAACGGGGCTACCCCACTGCAGTGGAAATGTGCCATTAGTATATTTGTTAATAATGACATACAACACATGGAATTTGTGTGTGTGTTCCAAGTGAATCTGCGGCCCCCTGGTGGCCAGTACATCAATTATGTGGCCCCCACCACCATCCAAGTTGCCCATCCCTGATCTAGTTCAAGCTATAGATTCAAGAGATGTCAAGAGTTTCAGACTTGTGAGAAGTGAGGGCTGTGTGTCGGGATAGTTCGTACTCACCATGTGTTTGGATCCCTGACTTAGCTTTGAATTTAAAATAGAAAATAGAAAATGTCACTGGTTTGATTATAGCAGATAAACATGATATTTGTTATGCTGACAGAATGATTTGACATGATACAAACGCACAACACTGATATTCTGCCTTGACAGCGCACTGTAGGCCAATTAAATGTGAAGCAGATTGGATGGTTGCGTGTGTGTGTGTGTGTGTGTGTGTGTGTGTGTGTGTGTGTGTAGATTGTTATGAGACACACTTCGTTAACAATGCACATATCACATGACAGCTTCTCAGCGGTTAGTTTGTAAGTCACCAGTAACATTGAGTTGTAATGCTCAGAAATAAACGTGTTAGGAGTTTGGCTTCATGCTGTTCCAACGGCTCACACTAATTCAAATCCATCTGTTCAAAATTCAAAAGGAAAACTCAAAGAAGATTTAAAACTCACCCAGAGAGCTAAATAAGTTAATGCCGTATACATTTCTTTCATAATGCTGTTTGGATCATTAAAGGGTCCCTATTATGCATTTTGGGGTTTTCCTTTTGCTGTATTGTGTTATATAGGTTTATGTGCATGTAAATGGTCTGCTTATGTTTACTTCCATAACTTAGTGACATCACTATGTAACACTAGCGTTTTCCATTGGCGCTCCAATACATTATGCGTGATAGGTTAAGGGGCGGGACATCTCTAAGCAGTTGACCAATCACAACAGAGCCAGCCAGCTAAAATAACGACCTTTATGAAAATGAAAGCATGTAAGCACAACATACTAATATGAAACCTGATAATGAGCATAACAGAAAGCTTGTTTTTCAGTTAGAGAATGGCGACTAGTCATTTTGTAAAGTGGCATAAAGCCAGGATGGGAGACTGTGGGCGTTCAGGGGTTGAATCAGTGTCAGCAGCGTTGGTGGAAGCATGTCAGCCTACAGAGAGCATTAGAGATACAAACATCCAGAGAAAGTACAGCCGCACATATACAGATGTGCCTGTGTTGGTTAACGGATGGATCAAAGCAGAGGACAGAGAGACACAAGAAAGAAGACAGAAATCAGGAGGAGAAGAAGAGAGGAGTTTGTCACTACAGAAAGCTGCTCATGCAATCAAAGGAGACGTCAGAAAATACAATACAGGACGGCAGAGAATGTGAGTGTGTTGAATATGAAGAGGAGAGCGAAAACTGGGCCAGACCAATACACAGTTTTTCAAAAGCATTGTTTCACAATCATATATAGATCCGTCAGTGGCTTCCAAGACTTTTACTTTGCTGCGATTTTAGCGTTCTGCTTTGGAAAATCAGTATTGGTCAAACCCTTAAAGACGAAGAAAAAGTGAGGATGTGTTTTACCTTGAGCACAATCTTGTTGTCGGACGTCGGGGTGCGTCCCACCCACAGAGCAAACTTACAGGGGTCTCCTTCGACGTGCTCCGTCACCCCCAACTCTGACGTCTGGGGAAAGAGACAGGGACGATGTGAGAAGATCAGAGATATCAGCGGTACAATGGCTGTTGAAAAAAATTCTTGCTCCAGATAATGTGTTATTTCTTGAGTTATCTGAGACGGTGTTGATTCAGGAAGGGTCAATAAGATTTAACTACAGTACTGAAAGTGATGACATGAGGCACAAAGGAACATTTTAAATGCTACTAATGTCAACTACAAATCACAAAACGTCTATAAACACTCAAAAACAACCCTTAATACATTTAATTATTTTAAACTCAAGCTTTTTACTGGGAGATTCTGACATTCACCATGTTACTCTACGTAGGATTTTGAAGCTTAAAAAAAAAGTTAGTCATTTGAGTATTGATATGTTTGTAAAGAAGCATAATGGGCTGTCAAAATAAACAAATTCAATCATCAATTCATCAACAAGGAACCAGTAAAAGCAGCTGTAATACTAAATATGACGGCTGCTTGCTTGCCGTTTACTTCCTGCCAAAGCACCTCCACTTATCTTTTACATTTGTAGCGCAATGCCCCGCGCTCTTCAGACTTTTGTTTAGATATCCTTGACTTAATTTCAATGTCTGTGTTTGCACACGGCCCTGCAGTCTCAAGCTCCTAAAAAGGTTTTATCGTTTTAAGAACACAGTTATAAACAATTATGCAAATTAAGAACGATTTCATGAATCATTTCTAACAACCTTTTTTTCAAGGACATATTTAAGATGAAGATATTAGTGATCTAGACCTAATTATCTTAATTCAGTTACTCTAATCAATCAGATGCATGTTATCCAAATACCTTTCACTGCGTACAGTGCACCATCGTCTACTTACAAAGAGTTTGCTCTTGTAGATGTATTTGCTCCTGCCATTTGAGTCCTTGACCTCCTTGCTGAAGATGAGGGACATCTCAAAGAGGAAGAGGTGGCGCTCCCGACCCTTTCGGATCAGAGTCTTTGGATCCCACACCTGGAAGGAATCCTGGAGAATGAGCTCGCCCTGGGATTCCAGGTTTTCATCGAAACCTGGGAGAAAGAGAGGGTTTTAGAATGTTTACTTGATTTATGAAGAGATTTAATTCAACAGACAGTAAGAGATCAGAGCCACATAAATAACGAGTGTTACCTTCCAGCATGGAGAGGTGCATGGCATCGTTGGCTTTCTTAGGGACACTGAGCATCACCTCCAGGCCGTCCTTTATTTCTCCTTTCCCTTCTTCACAGCAAGTCAGCAGCTCCTAAAAACACACACACAATCAAACAAGGAACTAATAGAGACGGCCACCACAGCAGTGAGATTTGAAGGAGTGTTACCTTCAGCAGGAGCTGGTATTTGGTGATTCTCTGCACAGGTTTGATCAGATAGGAGGAGATGGAGTTGGCCAGTCGGTGCCTCTGTTGAATTTCCTGTAGAGAGAAGAACCGTGGTGTGATTGCATGTAGATGGAAAAACATTGAATATTGAAGAAACGGTCGTTGGTGATACTCACATCAAAGTAGTTCCCAGCATGCTCTAGGATGAGCTGGGTGGAGTCGGGCTTGTTCTTACAGTAGTTCACATACATCTGGAACTTATCAGCCTAGAGGAGGGAGAGAGATGTTTACAATAGTTGTAATATTAATAGCATACTTTAAGGACATACCAGGCAGCTTATTGCAGCGACACATAACCTGCATGCTCTCTGACTGGCAGAATAAACTCTAAATGAAAATATTAAAGTATAAAACAATATATCCAGTGTTGATTTTATCTAAAGGAAACGGATACAAAATATATTTTTGTCGAATAGTAGGTCTGGGAACACATTTTAAATTGGGTTTATCATTAATAATATCAACAATATCAATAATTATAAGGGTCTTGTCCACAAAAGTAGAAATGTGGCATCCCAGGCGAAAGCACATCATACTCAGTCACAATACATACAGTAAATAATGTGTGATAAAAATGTGATTGGTGTTTTAGCAAAGATACAATTATTTGATGTTGCTGAATTGGCTCAATAATATCTTACGAAGGTCAGTTTTATGACTTCTTTAAAGATGCTGGTGAACAAATGATACGTACCCATGTGACAAAGCAATGCCCAACATCCTCCGGTAGCTGCTCATATTTCTCCAACTCTTTGAGGAAGATACTGACGATAAAAAAAGCAGTATTAAAATGTGACAAACACAAAAGACCTTCAAAAAGGAATGACTAGTTATATTTCAAATAGAATCTAACACTCTGTATACAGCTTTACAGAGGCATCTAATATATGAAGCTGCTAGAGACTGAACTGTCTTTTCATGTTTTTCATATTAATTAATATTATATTTTGTATTTAAAACTTGATTTAGTTTATTCTGGATCTGTTTAAAATGTGATCTTATTGACAAAGTCCTCAAAGTTGTTTCTTACTTATGGTGGAACTCGTATAGGTCCTGCATGTTTCCAAAGATGATGTGCTCCTTGTTGATGATCCCTGGAGGAATCTCCTCCACGCCGCTGGTCATCTCCCACAGGTAGGTCTGAAAGAGACACAAAAGACAGGATTTAAAACAGGTTTTTCTGATTCCTTTCCAGATTAAGTGTGAAAAGCTGTTGCACAACGGTGGCATCAGCAGGTTAACAGCGGTGGGTTGTGAAGCTGAACTCACATCCATGCACTCCCGCAGGTCTCGCACGTAGGCTTTCTCCGTCTGAATCAGCTCTGCCATGATGAACCTGGACACACACGCACACTTCATTTGTACAAAGTCCTCATGCACATAATGATAAATCACCAGCGTCAACCGCTCTCTTTCAGCCCGTCGCCTTAACCCATCTACATGAATGAATAATGAATGAGGGCCATAACACTGAGTTGGTCATAAAGCATCCTGAACGACTGAAATCACGGAGGAGGAGGTTTAAATCACGCAAATCCATTATGTGCCAGATTTAAATTGAACTCACTCTCAGAACCACTCACAGGTATAGAGCAAGTATGACTACAGTGCTGACGTTACTGTCGACAAGGACAGAGACGGGCATAATAATCATTCTTTAAAGAGACCAACTTAGTTAGCGTTGGTCTGCTCTGCTGCAAATGTTGGCACTGGGCCAACTATTTAATTACACGTCCAAACAAACAATAGAACATATTTCCAAGAAGGGGAAATGTAATCAAATATATGCTGACTTGCTACTAGTTGTATAGTTGGTAGGCATAGCACGTACTGCTTTTAGCTACATGCTAAACACTTTTATTTGGCAAAATGTAAATACTTTTTTAATGTGCTGTATTATAGGAACTAGCTTTTTATTTTTAAATATATTTTTGTATATTGTATCGACATATTGAGTAGATGAAAATAACGCAAAAACATTTAAAGACAATTCCATAAAATACAAAATAAAGAAGAAATAAATTAAAAAAATAAAAATAATTGTATAAAGTGATTTAAGTAGATAATTCAGTTTTTGGGGAAAAGACAACAACTAAGAAATGATTTAGAAAATGTCTGTTTGTGATTATAACTGCTTTAAACTATAACCGAAAATTCAGTAGTGTGAATAAACAGGAAGTGGTGACATACTCCTTCCTCCGCGCCGACTTGCGTTTCTCCTCGTTGAGCTCGTGAGCGGCATCGCGCAGTTTGACCTCTGACCCCGGAGCTGTGGCGGGGATGATATCCAGCTGGAGATCCTTACTCTGAGAAGAGCACAGACAAATGAATACGTGACTTTAAGAGGCAGGCGTAACTTCAATGATGTGATTTTCTACCAAAAAGTATGAGCACGTACGGCCTTGTTAGAGTCCGAGGAGATGCCGAGGGCTTTCTCCAGGCTGCAGCGGTACTTGTCCATGCGCAGGGAGAAGTCTCGGTAGCGCTTGTCCACAGCCGTCACCCATTTCTTGATCTCTCCAGCGTGACTGTGGCCTTTCTCACAGAAGCCGTCAGCCAGCTGGATCAGCAGCTTGACACGCTCCTTAGTTTGCTGAAGGAGAGGGGGGGAATACAGAGTGTTATAAGTACACACACACATAGCGACATGTATCCGTGTGTGTGTGTGTGTGTGTGTGTGTGTGTGTGTGTGTGTGTGTGTGTGTGTGTGTGTGTGTGTGTGTGTGAGGTGTGAGAGAGAGAGGCCAACCTTGGCTGTGATGTGGAAGTCCTCGTGCTCCTTCAGCAGCTCCTGTGTGTGGTGGATACTCGAGCCGGTGGAGGTGTGTGTGGAGAGGTAAAACTCCCCGGTGTCATGAATCCACTCGAGAGCCTGAAGACACCAAAACACACACACACACACACTGTCAGATCACAAGAGAAAGCAGTGTATATCCACGGGTATGAAGGTATATAACTTCAGATCAGTGATGTACATTTCCACTGTACTTTACTAAATGGTGAGGTACCGAATTTCATTGTATTCCCTTTCCTGCTTGACCTTTATCCACTAAATGTATCTGCCGGATTTAGTCACTTTGGAGCTCCAGTCAGATTTATTGTAACATTATTTCAAAATAATGTATCATGTGTTATTAAAGGTTAAAATAAAATAGTATTGATCCCTTGGTGAATTTAACAAGGCTCTTCTACCAGCTGCAGCATGAACCCGTTAATGCCTCGATGGCTATAATCGAATAATATACTTTATACATTATTCTGCATAACAAATACTTATCAAAACAAGTAAAGATCGGAGTACTTCCTCCACCTCTGCTTCAGCTACACAAGTGTCAGTAAAATAAATGCAGGTGTGTGTATTTGTGTTTCCTGTACCTGTTTGGCGCTGCGTTCAAACACCACGTACTGCTGACACTGGTCCAGCCGCCGCTTCCTCATCGTCCAGAAGTGGAGGACACGGTTCTCTCTCTGCAGCAGCTCATTGAGGATGTCTGAAAAACAACAGAAAACAGAACAGATTCATCACAAGTTCCCAACTATGCAGGAAATTTGCACCAAGTATTGGCTATAAAGAAAGTATATTACATAACAATAATGTGTTGATTTAGTCAAATCCTATCCTTTTTCAGCATCTTGTAAAAACACCTTTATTCAATGCTCTTAATAAATAACTGTTTCCATCTCTTACTTTTAACCTGCTGTTCTGGTGCTTTCACATGGCTCATCATCCCCGGCATGTTGACGCTGTTCCTGTGCATGTACTTCAGGAAGACGTCTGCGTTTCTTCTGGCCAGAGTGCATGCCTGGTAGGAATATTAACACACACTGAAATCAGAGGTGGAACTTGACACTATTCTAAGGGGCCATATTGATCATGTTGTGCGTTACCTTGAGGAAAGCCTCCTTCTGCTCCAAGTGTTTGCTGATCATGGGGCTGACGTGGTCCGTCTCACAGTTGGGTCCCAGTTTGTCAGCTCCTCCGCACCAGTCCTCCTCTCTCTTGTACTCCTGCTCCAGGCTCTCCAACACACTGCACACCTGAGGGGACACACTCACTTAGTCTGGGGAACACAGGAGTTATGGTCAGGGGTGCACATAACTTTTTTGCCCTGGTTCACAAAGGAGCACCTGGAGATGTTGCTTGGTGCTCATCCTTAAAATGAAATTAACTGTAACTTTTGAGGGGTCTTGACTTTATTTGCCAGACACACGGCACCTGCAAGAGGTGAACACGGAGAACACACAGTTGCAGAGGTGCACACAAGACAAACATTAGCACGACCAGTAATCCTACAAGCTGTCATCACTACCCTCCTGACTGTTCTCCTCACTGTCTTCCTCTCTGTCAGACATGGTAGCTGATGATGTAGGCCTACTTCTTTCTCTCTGGTTGAGTCTGCGATTAGCTGCTGGTTTTGGGTCGAAAGTCTCTGTTGTCATCTTAGACAAGTGGATGTAATTAAATAAGTATGTGAACATAACCAATAACCTACCATAGCCAATAACAAATTAATGTAACTTATTTTATTTGTGTTGTTTATTCATATCTTATTTTACCTTAACATTTATTCATTTATGCATTTTTTTTTATCTCCAGTTTTAAAGGATATGTTTGGTTACTGTCCTATAGTATACATTGGAATGATTTCAAACCTGTTTATCCCAATAATTATAAAGGAGTGCCTTGGAAATATGTGCTTACATAAATTGTGACCAAACCGTTTGAACTTAGACTAAAGTGAACTATCTAAACACTCAAAGAGTCCTTTACCTCACTGAGCTGTAGTTATCAGCCTCTCAGTCTGACTGGAGAGGACTCTCCCTCCACATTATTGTAGAAACATCTTCTTCTTATATCCGTTAAAGCAGCTAGCACCAGATGCTAATAACAACAGCGCCGGTACCGGTGCACCCTCCCTCTCTCTCTCTCCCTCGCATTTTGGCTGTGAGCTGCGGGCGCCAGATAAGCCAACATCCCCCACTTTCATTACGTACAGCGCCCATTGTACAGGGCAAATGAAACGTGTAACCGGGGTGAAAAGGGTGTTACATTTACTTAATTGTGAATATCGTTACATCAAGGCCGAAAATTAGGATGAGCCCCAACGGTCAAAAATGTTTTTTTTCCTCCCAGAGCTGCCAGCGCAGCACCCCCCAGATCTGGCGCCATAGGCGAACATCTATTACGCCAGTGCTACGGGCCGGCTCTGAGTTCATATCATAGGTTCATATGCAACTCGCAAATATATTTCTCTCTCTTCTCTTTTCTCTCTTCTCTTCTCCCTCTCTCTCTCAATGTTGGTACGCAAATGCGCCTTTTTTCAAATGACACGGTGCGCACCTGCGCACCAGTTATGTGCAGCCCTGGTTATGGTGGAGAAGTCACATTGAGTTCTGGAGACTCCTACCTGTTCAGAGGTCTTGTAGAAGGCCACTGAGGCGTTGACCAGCTTGAGTCTGTCCTCCATCTTCAGCATGAGCTGCTGCCAGTGGGAGGCCACGCTCTCCGCACAGTCCCTAATCAGGTCCATGTCGTAGTGGTTGGCCTGGAGCAGAGCCTCGGCCTTCTGCTGGACCTGCAGCGCACTCTGGTGGGTTTTCTGCACACAGGGAAGAAATGGAGAGAGGATGGGGTTAGAATGACAGAAAATATTGAGCAATAAGGTATGTCAAATCGACAGGTTAGGGTTAGAAACTGATGGGGTAAATACACACTGTCTCACCTCAATGGCGTGTTGAAACTGTTCGTGTTCTCTCTGCAGCTGCTCAGCCTCCTGCAGCGAGCTGGCTGTTATGAGACCGGCGTTCAGCATCGACTCGCCGTTTCGAATCCAACCCAGAACCTACAAAAAAAAGACGGAAGCTGTATTCAAATCTGACCAATTCCAATGTTATTACTACTTCAATAAAAATTCCAGACACAGTGGAAACCTCTCAGTACTGTGTCCGTCCGTGTTAAGCTGAAAAATGTAAAATAAATAAACTACTGTGCAATGTATAATTCAAATACATTGTAATACATTACAGAACCTACTGTTTACCTGCACTTGTCCGCCGTAACCTTCGTTCCCTCTCCCCCTCTACCTTTGCCTCGTTGGTGCTCTCAGCCCTCCCTTCCTCTGATTCGTTCCATCTCCTGCCTCCAAACTCTGCTGCAGAAACTCTCCTCTCTACTCTCTCATCCACTCTGGACTCGCTCTGTCCTCTCACATCTCGGCAGGCTCGTCAGTCCCCTCCTGCTCCCTGGCTAAATGATGCACTGCGTGCTAATAGAACCGTCCTTATGGCAGCAGAGCGGAAATGGTGGAAATCCAAACACCGTGACGACCTCCTAACCTATCAAGCTCTCCTCTCCTCTTTCTCTGCTTCGATCTCTCAGGCAAAAAGCACTTTCTTTCAAGATAAGATCCAATCTTCCTATTCCAATCCTAAAAAACTATTTTCCATCTTCTCCACCCTCTTGGACCCTCCAAAGCCCCTCCCCCCTCCTCACTTCTGTCAAGCGACTTTGTTACCCACTTTGAAAAAAAGGTTGATGATATTCACTCTTCTTTTTCTGACTCACCTTTACTCACCGCTGGGTCACCAGACCCTCCTTCCACCAACACACTTACCTCCTTTTCCCCTCTCTCTCCAAGTGAGGTTCTTACCCTCATTACCTCTGCCCGCCCTACCACCTGTCCTCTGGACCCTATCCCTTCAAACCTCCTTCAGACTATCGCTCCTGATATTCTACCGTTTCTCACCCATTTCATCAACACTTCTCTAACTTCTGGTCACTTTCCAAACAGTCTCAAGGAGGCAAGAGTAAACCCTCTCCTAAAGAAACCCACTCTCAACCCGTCTGATGTTATAAACTACAGGCCTGTCTCTCTCCTCCCGTTCCTGTCTAAATCACTTGAACGCGCTGTCTTTAAACAACTCTCCTGTTATCTCAATCAGAACAACCTTCTGGATCCGCACCAGTCTGGTTTCAAGGCAGGTCACTCCACAGAAACTGCTCTCATTGCTGTCACGGAGGAACTGCACACTGCCAAAACTGCATCCCTCTCCTCTGTCATCATCCTATTGGACCTGTCTGCTGCATTCGACACGGTGAATCATCAGATCCTCCTTCGCACTCTCCAAAAACTTGGAGTTTCAGGCTCTGCACTTTCCCTCCTCACCTCATACCTGAAAGACCGCACCTACAGGGTGACTTGGAGAGGGTCTGAGTCCGACCCTTGTCAATTAACTACGGGGGTCCCTCAGGGCTCTGTTCTTGGTCCCCTCCTCTTCTCCCTGTACACAAACTCGCTCGGATCAGTCATTAGCCCGCATGGTTTTTCTTACCACTGCTACGCTGATGACACCCAATTAATTCTGTCCTTTCCCCGCTCAGAGACCCAGGTCGTTGCACGCATCTCTGCTTGTCTAGCTGACATCTCTCAGTGGATGTCTGCTCATCACCTCAAGCTCAACCTTGACAAGACTGAGCTGCTCTTCCTCCCGGGAAAAGATTGTCCCACTCTTGACCTAACAATCAACATCGGCACCTCAGTTGTTTCCCCGACTCAGACTGCAAGGAATCTGGGTGTGACCCTAGATAACAACCTGTCCTTCACTGCAAACATCGCTGCTACAACCCGTTGCTGCAGATACACGCTTTACAACATCAGGAAGATACGTCCCCAGCTGACTCAGAAAGCGACTCAGGTTCTGGTCCAGGCTCTCGTCATCTCACGCCTAGACTACTGCAACTCCCTCCTGGCTGGTCTACCTGCATGTGCCATCCGACCTCTGCAGCTCATCCAGAATGCAGCGGCTCGTCTGGTCTTCAACCTTCCTAAATTCTCCCACACCACTCCGCTCCTCCGCTGCCTTCACTGGCTTCCGGTAACTGCTAGAATCCACTTCAAGACACTGGTACTTGCTTACCATGCTGTGAATGGATCTGGCCCTTCCTACATCCAGGACATGGTTAAACCGTACACCCCAGCGCGTGCACTACGCTCTGCATCAGCCAAACGACTCGTTGCGCCCTCGCTGCGAGGGGGACCCAAGTTCCCATCGGCGAAAACACGTGGGTTTGCTATCCTGACTCCAAGATGGTGGAATGAGCTCCCCATTGACATCAGGACGGCAGATAGCTTGCACATCTTCCGGCGCAAACTGAAAACTCATCTCTTTCGACTCCACTTCGAGCGATAGAACTATTAACGAAGCACTTATATACTAATAAAGGACTGGCTTACCTAAAGCCAGTTGAGTAGCACTTGAAATGTTTGGCTCTATGAAACCTGATGTAATTATATGATTCTGTTTTCTTCAAGGTTGTGTCTTCCTGGTCGAATGTACTTATTGTAAGTCGCTTTGGATAAAAGCGTCAGCTAAATGCAATGCAATGTAATGTAATGTTATAAAATATGGATTACATAAATTGGTACATGTGTATATATACATTTCAGCCTGCAGATGGCGCCCTGCCTCAGGTGTAGCTCTGTGTTTCTCACCTGCTTGACCTCGGCCTGCAGGTGCCTCAGCTGGACGCACTGCTCCAGGTGTCGTCGGTGCTGCTCGGCAGCCAGGTCCAGTTCTTGCTGCTTCTCGTGGAGAAACTCCAGCAGGTCCTGAACCCGCGTCGCCATGTCAACGTCCCGGTCGCACAGCAGCTCCACGCCTGCAAGGGAAACACACAGCGAGGTTAGACAGAAGATAAGATGATGATGGAAATTGCACAAAAATGACCACAATATATCAAAATAGAGTTATAAATACAGCATGTTTACGTATACATTTATATATTCAGTTTAATATTTAATATTTAATAAGTATCTGTCAGATACTTATGTATATATAATAACTTGCTTTATATCTTGTTATTGTTAATTTGTAAATTCAACATGTATATTTTCTACTTTCTGGTTTAATTCTAGTCTTTTAATTTGTATTGTACAATGCCATGTCTTTTTATGCTGCTGCAACAAAAAATACATAATATCTTATCTTAGAAATAAGAGAGCAAAATGAAACGGCAACTAAAGTAAGATACCTTCAGTGAACAGTTACATTGCACACTACTTTGAAAATAAAAATGCTACTTTATGTTCAAATGAGTAATAATCCACATTGTTATTGTTATCAGCGTTTTCTCTTCACACGTCAAATACCCAAATCTCTAATTAGTAATCACATTGGCATTAGTCCTACCAAACAAACCTCCTTTATAATAACCGCTCTTTGAATAATGTTATCAGCACGTTTCCATACACGTGACATGATGTAACCGTGCTTTGTGTGGTTTTACAGAGCACCTATTAGCATGTGAGATCACAGGTGAGTTATTATAGTTGGTGAGTGGGAGCCTCATCACAAACACCGACCGAAGCTGACCCGCGACACCTACACTGTATCAATATTATACTAATGTAGCCAACACAGAGATACGTGCAGCAGCAGTGAACAGGAGCTGTATCCTGATGAAACCCTCAGTCGCACCATGACTGGCGTCTGATGAGGCGACAAACATCTCTTCACCTCTACGGCACAGCGTTTGAGATTGACTAGCTTATAAAAGCAGTATCACAGGAAAAGAGAAACAAAACTACTTTAGGAATTCACAAGACATTTATAAGCATTTTATGCCTAGAAAGAAACCTGGGGAAGCAGAGTACAGCATGAATGAGCCTCAAACTCTGAAATGAGTCAGCATTTTACCACCATCGGTTCCCTCGTTTTGAGGTCACCCTTTATTTGGCTAGATTGAAATAAGATCTGTGTTTAACACAAGTTTAAGAGATTCTAACGTTTTGTTCTATGAAATGAAATACATCAGTAAAATACCCCACTGGTGAATGTCCAAAGAAATGTGTAAAAACTACAGCTGTTTAAAAAGTGCCTAATTGAGACTACTGAACGTCATCAAGGCAAACATTAGCTACCTTTAGCATAGCGGTGGTGAGGTGTCATGTGACCATAATGCAGTTCCTTAATAGCCACGTGTTGTTTTAATGTGGCAATTGCATTAACTCTTTTAAAATCATAAAAGCAGTGTTAATATATAGAGATTATTCTGCTGAAAAAAACATGTAAGTATCAAATATGTGTGTTTTCCACAAATCCATTTTCAGCAGTATTCCAAAATCCAATGGTAAATCCCATTGCTTTATGACAAGGGACATCTTGCAATGCTTACTTCTGGGTCGGCCTACAAACTACGTCATCACTGCACCACCGAAACAAATTCTAACTGAAGGTAAGCTACCAAAAGAGGACATACCAATGGACACAAGGAAAGTGATTGTGAGCCGACCGCTTTGTTTTTGGTTCCTTATAACAGCAGCGACAGTGTTGGCGTTGCACTCACCAGAGGCCTGCACCTCGTTGACGTACTGCAGCAGCTCCTGGCCCTGGTGGATGACATCGAAGGTGAGGTTGTTCATGGTCAGGGCTTTGTCAGCGTGGTGCTGCAGCCGCTGCTCGGCCAGCGTCAGATCCTCCGTGTCGAATTCTGTCATCTGACCCGTCAGCTCCTCGTTCCACGACTCCAGGTCAGAGATGATCTGAGGGAGGACAAGCGATTCCATTTGAACGAGGCTAAACACATATGTATCCACAATGCTGAAAGGACAATGGATCTGAAGTAGTAACACTTCTAACGCATACATTTTCTAAACTGTATTACAACTTTTAGCTTTCTTAGGTAGATTGTCTTAGAGATTGTAGCACTAAGTTTGCTTCAGGACTAGTCACATCTTTACTATTTTAATTAGTTAAAATGTCTAAGATTAACCACAAGTCACTCAGACACACACGGCCTCTCTCCTCCCAGGAAGACTCACGTCGATGGCGTCCCTCTCGAAGATGCGCAGCTGCAGGAAGAGCTCCAGTTTGATCTTCCTCTCCTGGAAGAGCTCCTCCATCTGGGCCTGGGCCTCGTCCAGCTGCTGCAGCACGCTCTCGATGTGGTTGATGGAGCTGTTGTGGGGCGTCTTGTTGCTGGAGATGGCCGAGTCCCTGCAACAGAAACGCACAAACAGCCGTAAAGACACAGCGGGGCAGGATGCCAGGAGATCTTCAAGACTGCTGCCTCAGTGGCCGACTCAGCGGTTAAACAGCAACGCAGTACTTTCAAGAAAGGAAGATAATGTTAGTTTAAATTGTGGAAGTCTGCATGAAGAAAATAGGGACAATTTCACCTTTCAAATGTAATTGTTCAATGCTGGATTTTGTAGAGTAGGCTTTTTATGTTATGATTGCTTTTATAACATATTTTAACTTGTGTACTACAGCTTATCAGCAAATAGTCTTTATGCAACTCTCAATAACGTCCCACACATTATTTAACAATCTGCTGTCTTTTAATTTTGTTTTTGTTTTTGTTGTGTCAGTCCAAATCCCAAAGATACTCAGATGTATATGAAATAACAAAAAAGATAAATGAAGACAATATTTCCATATTTGTAAGGGTGTAGCAGTACTTTCTGCAATTCATTGTATGAAAAAATACTTTGAAAAATATTATTTACACATCGCAAGTATTATTCTTGGGTCAAGATTACCCCTTTTATAAGCACATATTACTTTTGTGATATTGATTTACTTTTTCAATAACATGTTTTAAGTATCGTTCCATATGTTGCTTTTGTTCATTGTTATATTTATAAAACGGTTGCACCACAATGAATTCCTTCTGAAAACATTTCGTCCGACTACAGCATACTAAGAGAGTCTGAAATCAGATTTCTAATAAAAGGAGAAACGCTGGTGCACACAATGTGGACGGCAGATTGAGTGTGAGAGTGAAACAGATCATACTCTCTGATTCATCAATCTGACAGATGCAAACATGCATGATGCACGAACACCAGTGAGTTTACAGAGAGCACAATATGAGTAAGCAATAGCCGTCACATTGATCCTGATTGGCTTCAGGTTGATTATTCTGCGTGACAGATGCACGCCCACACTCAACACTCATATGTTTCTGGACTGCGCAAGGTTTATATTTATTTTAGTTTACAGCCTAGTTTCATGCCAGAAGCAGACTCTAGTGGGCACTGGGCAGGTCAATGAGTTTAAAATGACGTGACACCAGTTAGACAACGGGAGGTCTCCAAGGTGGTACCAAAATGTTTTTCTGATGGTATTTCTACATGTGTTTATTTATAATGCAGGTCGAAGTGTTTAAAGGTCCCATGTCATGGCCATTTCTACTGATCATAATTCCATTGTTGAGGTCTACTAGAATACATTTAAATTGTGCAATTTTCCAAACTCACATTGGTTTCTCATACAGCATCTCTGTATAGTATGTGTATTCACTCTCTGTCCTAAACGGCTTGTTGGAGCTCCGGCCCCCCCTCTCCTTGTGAGCCCAGTGGCCATCTGCGAGACAGCGAGACTCAGCGAAACCCACACACACCCGCAGCCTGGCTGGGAGTTTGTGTGTGTGCTCAGGCTGAGTTCCACGTTGTCTCGTTGTCTCGCCGACCCCACACCAGTGAGCCGGCTCACAGTGTCCGCTCCTCACAGCAGCGAGCCTCGCAACGTCCCGCCGAGTGTGTCTGAGGAAGTCCGCGAATTGGTCCAAACGTAACGGCTCTGCGGACGTAATGTAACGGCTCCGCAGATTGGTCCATTTCCATTCGGAGCCGTTACGTCACTAAACCCGAAATACGTCACTATACCCAATAAGTAAACTCCCCAACGAGGCGTTCTGGGGCAGCATAGACAGGTATTTTCTGTGTTAGAGTTTTACTCGCTACAGGGTGTACTTTGAGGGTTTGTGACTCTGCAGACCGTTTACATGCAGGAAAACCTTCATAACACACAAGGGGACGGGTAATAACCGGAAAAGCATGACATGGGACCTTTAAGTCGGTAAAGCCAAAAGATCTATGGAATCTACATAAATATAACCTTCAAGACTCAACCGTGACCACATGGTATTCATTAAAGGTATCTGGGCGCTTTATACGAGAGTCATAGCTTTAAATTAAAATGGTATTTTTGATAATCTGTGATGTAGAGATCCTCACCTCCCGGTGGAGACTGGCACACTATTAGACGTGTGCTTATAAAAGCAGAATTATGTAAGAATTCACACCGGAGCCAACACGCCAGGGAGAGAGGGACGGAGAGAAAGAGATACAAAAAAAGGGGGTGGATGAAGAGGGAGGAAGAGGATGAAGAGGGACTGGAACATCCTCTGGATAAAAACAGAGTTGGAGGTCCTCTCCAACACCTCCACCCATCCTTCAGCTTTGCTTCTACTGTCTTTTTTTAATTAAATTGACTGTTTATTGCATATATTTACATATTCACACTCAGTTTATTTCCAATTACGTCCCTACCCTGCCAACACTTTATTGAGACAAAGCCAATTATCAAAGTTGACCTAAAAATCAATGTTTCTTACGTATTTATTGCCACAAACGCATCATCACTACTATTAGTAGTACAAGTTTAAAGAATTGGTTATGGTCAGTTTATTGTTTTTTACTCTAGTTGCCTGATTAAACTTCATTTTGTTTTGGATTCACATTAGAAGTCAAATTAAGGATGTATACACGCTTATTTTAAATGTTATGGTTTGATTCAGTTCCACTTCTAGTAGATCTAAAATATATTGTTACTGTACATAGAAGAATATATTCATAGTTGACTGGCATTTAATAATGATAAAACACACGTAAAAAGTAACATATAGTGAAATAATAACCTAAAGAGCTTCATTAAACATAAGTATGTAGACATGGCACTGAATAATCTCTCCTTCACAACACGTCATTTGCTTCCACCGATCATCTACCATTTGTTTTTGCTTAGCACTGGTTTCATTTTCAGTCAGGTGTCTTGATCAGTACCTGAGCTGCTGGATGAGGTCTTCCCCCTCCTTGATGACGTTGACGGTGACCTGCAGCGTGGTCTGCTGCTGCTGGCCGAAGCGTTTGATCAGATCCTGGACCGCCTCCACCGACTCGGCGTAAACGTCGTCCAGCAGCTCCTTCTGCAGCTCCTCCAGCCACGTCCACAGCTGCAGGAGGACATTCATTAGTACACTGAAAACTATCAACAATAAATAACATAGAACAATGTCCGATTGGAAGTTGCATTGAAGCTCACACTCAACATTTTTGTCACAGAACACACTCACTGTGATCACACCCTTACATGCCAACAATCAGTGACACACATTTGCCGTCACTTTACCAATTATGAAAGCTAAATTACACTCACGGAGGAGTTCGGATTCTGTAATTGTATGTTCAATTCTAACCTCACCTAATCTGACCCTTACATTAACGCTATCACTAAACTACCTGTGTACGGTATAGTGACTCATGTGTCTCACAAATAGCCTTGTAAAACGCAAGTATAAGCAACATTACAATAGGATATCTACAGTTCCTAGGCTACTTAGTCTACAAGGATTTCTTAGTTATGACTTGTGTTCCCAAAAAAACAAAAAACTTGAATGAGGGTTTACTGAAAGCAAATAACTGCGTCACGGCAGATGATTTTCCATCCAACATACATCTTCCATTACTATATAATCCGTCATGCCAACATAAACATTTACTTCCCCCCCAAAAAGTGCTTGAGTGGCTCTTAAACCAGGTTTCAAGTGAGGACTTACAAATGCCCATCTCTGTGTGACTAACTGCATAAAAGCGAAACAACACACACATCAGAATTTAATCTAGTAATTAAATTCCCCTTGAGAGCGCTGTGAAAGCTCTCATCCACACAAACAGGCAGCCCACCATCCACTCCAGCGTTACGTCACCCTGCCCACCTCTTTGACGTGTGTGTGGAAGGCGACAGACATGTCCAGCAGGACTTTGCGCTGCTCCACGCGGCGAACAAAGTCTTGGATTCGGTCTTCGAGCTGGTGGGCGGCCTGGTAGATCTCCTCCGGGTCGCACTCTCCCGTCTGGGCCAGCTGCTCAGCCGCCTCCAGCAGCTTGTCTGCATTCGTGTACGTATTCTGGTCGGGGATGGAGGGAGAGATTAGCCCAGGAAGACCATAACAATGCAATTAAAATATATTCAGGTTTCATGAGGAGATAGAGAAAGAGTCGAGGCAGAGAGGAATTTAAATCAGGAGACAGGAGGCGTGTGCACTGATAGACAGTGATAGGACACGGAGAAATTGAGAACTAAAGTAGGGGAAGGTGTTATAAAGAGGAAGAGAAACTAGTGGCAACGTAGAAAATAAAATCACCACAACTTTGTCAGATTTTAGCAGTGGTTAACGATCCTTTGCTTAATTAATAGCAACAACACTGCAGTAAAAAATCCATAAGAAGAAATAAAATGTCACTTAGGTAAAAGTAATTTTGAATAAAATTGAAGTTAAGTCTCAAAAATAAGTTAGAATTTTCCAAGAAGTATCCATGAAATGAATACAAAAAGAAAGTGCCTCAGAAGTGTATTTCAAGTATGTAGTGAATGTACGTTGTTCAAGTAAATTCAACCACCTTTTTAGCTTTAATACTCATAAATTATTATTATTTTTTAAATTCTACTTTGTATAGTCTTGCTTTGAAATTAAATTCCCTAAAACATTTTACGTTTATATAAATAATGAAAATGATGTCAATGCTGATTTGACAGTGAAAATAATAAAAAGCACCGTACTATGACTAAGGGCTATTTCAACGTAAGCAAATGTCATTATCTACACAGTATTTGATATATTGGCTTGAACCAGGTGGGCAGTGAGAGTGAGAGAAAGCTACCTGTGCCACTTCCTCAAAGTCTTCGTGGCGTTTCTGCAGAGCTCGGGCTCGGTGGAGAGACTTCCCCACGCCCGTGTGTTTGCTGAGGAACGCCTCGCCGTGGTTTTCGATCCAGTCCAGCACCTGTGCAGAGGAAACCATGAGAAATGACACACAGATTAGGAAATAGGCGACCACAAGGGGGTGCTCTGAGGTCGTAGATAAACAACAAGTATTGACGATAATCGAAATAGTGTGTAAGAGAAGAGGAATGACAGAAATAATAATGAGTATTGTACGAGGCGTTTCACTGAGCCGTTTCTTTTTCACACTCCTCTCCCTGCACTCTGTCCTTCGCAGCGTTATTGCACAAAAAAGCATCTGCACGGACATATGACCCAATTCAGTTTCCATGGAAACAGTTGCCATGTCAACACCCTCAGGAATGCCCACGATTTTTTTGTTGTGTTTCTGTACGATCAAATCTGATTATTGATTATAGCATGCTGTTTTTTAAGCCTTTATTTACATTTAAGGCATTTATCCAATGTTTCCTTCTAATAAATAAACTAACTCAAGGACATTTTGATAGAAAACATGGCCTTGCATATTAAAACAGAAGACCTTAAAATTATTACAACCCTCTCCTGTTGTACTGAAACAAATTGTAATTATGCTTTGTCCTGAATTACAATGTGTGCTTACGAATAAACAAAAACATACATACAGTGTGTGTCTGTGTTAGGGTTGGGAACCGAAACTCGGTTCCAGATGAGAACCGATAAGAAAATGCCGGGTACCGGGTACCCATACAAAATACACAATTTCGGTTCTGCTTAACGGTTCCTAAACGCGGTAGACCCTGTATTCCAGCGGGTCCGTCTGTACCGCGGTGCTGCGGTGACCCGGTGGAATACAGGGCGGACCTGGAGAATCACAGAACGGCCGGTCGTCAGCGGGCCGTTGACGGCCGGCTCGGTACGCTGACGGCCGGCACCGCTCTTCATTTTTTTAAACGGCATCATATAAATTGCGCTGACAGGCGACAGAGGTCCACAGTTGCCCCGCAGCGATGCTCCCCCGCCCTCCCGTAGACATTTCACGAGCTCAGTCACTTCATAACACCAAAGATAGGTCGCGGTAAACACTCTGAAGTGAGGCTCCACTACACTAAAAAAGAAAAAGAAAAGGCACAGTGTAATGCCTGTTAATAGCTTGCCACAGGCATAGCTCAGTTAAAATAAAGCACAGCTATTGTGCAATACATTTGTATTGCATGTATATTTTTTGGTAACAATTTCAGTTAAAGCTTTTAAGAATAAATATATTTTTGTTATCTAAACGTTTGACCTCTTTATTTTACAATTTTGGAATCGAAACGGGGAATCGATAAGAACCGGAATCGATAAGCAGAACCGGAATCGAAATCGATAAATTTCAAACGATACCCATCCCTAGTCTGTGTGTGTGTAGGAGTGTGTGTACCTGTTGGACGTCCTGTTGAAAGACGCAGAGCTGCAGACGTTGGTGAAGCCTCACTTTGCGGTGTTGCCAGATGTTCTCCAGCTGCCTCTGGTGATGCAGCACTTCGTGGATGATGTCCAGGACGTGGTGCACGGCCTTGGAGTAGTTGGCCGATGCTGTGAGCGTATCAGCGCTGCCCGGGGTCAGAGGTCGCTGCAGCTTGTCCAACAGGGCTTTGCCATCTTGGCTCACCTAAAGAACAGTAAGACATCAAGTGTCATTTATTTTTACTCACAAGACAAACGCCTAAGAACGAAAAGAAACGGGCAATAATGTGTTTTGTTTTCACCTAGAAATATCTACACATGTATAGCAACAGCCAGCAAACTGTGTGTATAATTACCTGTGAAAGCACACGCTTTTGACGTTTTAATAGAAACGTAAAAAGGGAAATGATAAATGAAAAAGCCACAAATGAGGAATTGGTGAGAAACACAATGAAAAGTAATTTTTCTCACTGTACAGATGCAAATCCTTCAATATTGTCAGTGTAAAAGTAGTCCTCTATTTCAAATTAACTGTTCAGTATAGAGTTGTTCTGTGTAGACTTAAGCTGAAAAAAGCTTTCATTTTGACTTTATCCTACAATATCGTACCAAATGTAATTCTATCCCAAACAATATGAGCTGCATTTTCCCATTTTGTGAGAGTAGACTTCATTTTAAAGTTTAACTCCCATTAAGAGGGACAAGTTCGCAAAGCTACTGTATGTGAATATGTTTTAAAACAAACCAAACCTATCTGTGGGTGACTCGTATAAGTGTATTAAACAACCTAAACAACAATGTGGTGTAAATGCTATTTTCTTCTCCTTATTTTAATGCATGTTAGTATATGTATGTAAAGTGTGTTTTTTACCTCAGAGTAGGCAGCGGTGATGTGTTCGTACAGGCCTTGGTGGTGGTGGATGGCGTCTTCAAGGTCTTGCAGCTCGGAGGGCAGATCCACCTCGCCACACGCCTTACACCACGAGTCCACGTTACTCATGTACTGCAGGGGGAGAACCGCACACTTCATTTACACAGACTCAGAGGTAAAGCGCTTCACATGAGACGCGGTGCTGTATACATCCAGCTGCTCTTCCCAGGAGTCACATGGAAGTCAGACATGCAGGAATGTATAAGACACAGCCTGAGGAGCATTTTGTATACTATTACTCAGCTTTAAAGATGCACAAATGTCCATATGTATGAGCTCTCTTAAAGCTTTTTCAGGAGAATTATACATGGCTGACTGTGCTGTTCATAGCCTGGGGAAACTTCCTAGAACTTGTAGCACACCCGTGGGAGTGAAGGAAAGCAAAGCAATAAGGAACGCTCCAGTCAAAAAGATGATACAAGTTGAAGCAAAGTCATTATTCCCTTTTAAAGCAGTGATACTTGGAATAAAAACACGAGAACAACAACGATATAAAATGAACTCCTTAGTGTGTAGGAGGAACTTTTTGAAGAAAAAAAAAGCTGTTTCTATTTCAGCTCACAAACATAAAAGGCTGGTCTGATGACGGCAATATTCCAGGGTCGGAAAAGTCGTACCACCCATGTTCCCTATTTGGGATTCTGCTTGTGTTTCCCTTTCCGGCCATGAATTGTTCCATAGTGGCTCGGCTAATGAGCACAGACAGAAATAACAGCTTGATAACAAATGCCGTATTTATATGCTGCAACCCTGTATGTAAATATATGATAATGCGTGCATATGTGAGGCTTTATAGATTTAATAAGGCCGGGGGGGGGTTTACAACAAAAAAGTGTTTGCATACGTGTCCGTGTGCATCCGTTAAGATAGTGAAGGTCAACACCTCGGCTCGTTCCAGAGGGACATTAATGTGAGTTTTATTGAATTCTATTCCCACTGTTCCTGACTTTAATGACGTGTTGCATTTGGGGACATATGCTTATCTGCTTAGGTTATTCTGAGAATTATACAAACATATAATGTGATAATGAATGAGCCTCAGACATGTTGGTGAGGCCTGCTCAAGGCTGGATTCTTCACTATTTTCTATATTGTTGCAAACTTAAAAGACCGTTCATCTGTAATTATCAATCAGTAATCCAGAGAAAATGTATTGTCAATAATAAGAATGATTAGTTCATCATATAAATCATTTGTAAAGGAAAATATAAAAACATTGTCTCTTAAATGTGAAGACTTCCTGCGCTTATTTGCCATAAATGATTGATTATCATTTAGTTTAGAATGGTTATTAATACAAAACAGCAATTTCAACATGTCTCCTCGGGTAAAGAAAAAGTGTACGTTTTTTGACCTTTGAAAGATCCAACTGTTTATTTATTGACTTAATATTCAGCAGATGAATCTGTGACAGACGCAATCTTAAGTTGCAGCCAGTGTTTCCGCCAGACCAGGGCTGAGAGGAACATCCCCTCCAACAGAGGGATGTTCTTGTCCTTTTTCCTTTTCGTAATTTCAAGCGATAAATACTCTCGATCTTCTCTCTAATTTTTTATTTTTGTTTTACGCCCTCGGCTCGAGTTCAGGGCGTTCCGAGCTGAATAAGGGCATCAAATGACGGCAAGACGCCACCCCTGGCGGAAACGCTGGTTGCAGCTGTATATCTGTGTTTTTGAACTCACCTGGTCACACTTCTGGTGGAAGCTGGCGGACATCTCCAGCAGCGTGCTGCGTTCATCCAGAGCCGCCGCGAAGGCCTTCCACTCCTGCTCCAGCTGACTTGAGATCTGCTTGATCTGCTGCGAGGCGTAGTGACCCGACTCCAGCAGCCGGTTGCCCACCGACATGATGCGGTTTATGTTCACGTACACGTTCTGCACAGAGAGGCGGAGAGACGGGTTCATCAAATGGGGCGAGGGTAGGACCAGAAATGGTATCGCAATATTTGATGAATCAAAATATGTGATTATTATTATTCTATATCATTCTGAATGAAGTATTGTGCAGAGAACTTCAGGCCTAAAACACTGTATTCCACAGACTTGATACAAAAACCTATTTCAATGATAATTGAACAATTAAAAAATGATAATTCCCTCTATTAAGGCAAGTTATATCGCAGTTGCAATGGCAGTCATATTAATCACAATTAGTTTGTTTTTTCAAATCAAGCAGCCCTAGTTGATGGATATTAAGCACCAGATAAGAAAAGAGAGATTTTAAAAATAAAGAACAGTAGAGATGAGAAGATAGGCTTGAGGAAATAGTTAAAAAGAAATGCATAAGATTTTAAATTCACGCCCTTGTTTCTCATCTTAAAGCAGAAACTCTAGCAGCTACATCGATTTCTGCTATCAATGGTTTAGCAATGGTTATGTAATACAGACTGTGGATAAAGAATATTATTACTGGCTGCTAATGCGAAGAAAACGTGTGTATGCACAAAAGCATAGGCTGCTCCAAACAAACACTCAAACACAGTACTAGAGGTTGGCGCTAAGTGCACAACTGTATGATTACAGAGTGCAGGGCAAGGGCCTCGATACTCCAAGTGGGCGGATCAGCATCACCTCCTGCTGGGAGTCTGTGTACATCTTACCATGCAGTTCATAGCGAAGTGGTTGTGCTGGGTTTGCAGCTCTATAGCGTGGGGGTGGTTGTTGCCAATCTCTGTGTAGCCTGCCAGGAACAAACCCTTGTTGTGCATGATCCAGTCAAACATCTAAAGCACGGGGAATGACAGAAATAAAAAAAAAACACGAGTTACGGGATCACCATTAACCTGCATGGATCATTGCAAACAGCAGGTGAAGATAAACAGTCACCACTTAGATCAGTGTGTGTGTGTGTGTGTGTGTGTGTGTGTGTGTGTGTGTGTGTGTGTGTGTGTGTGTGTGTGTGTGTGTGTGTGTGTGTGTGTGTGTGTGTGTGTGTGTGTGTGTGTGTGTGTGTGTGTGTGTGTGTGTGTGTGTGTGTGTGGAGAGTTGTCATCTTTCCAGGCCAGATACAGAGAAATGGACTGCCGCTATTAAGAGTATCCTCTCAGGCTCTCCTCGAGAACAAACTCGTGGCCTATGGTGTCCTAGCAACAAGCTCCTACGACTGCAGCTCCTTCTCTCTCTGTTGCTGCAACCTGCTTTCTTATTCTACTCCCTCAAACATGGATCTCTCAATTCCTCTCCCCCTGTCTCTTTCTATTCTGCGCTGCAGCTGTCATCACCTGAGCGTCTGGGAGGCAGCCAGAGAAGGTCGCTTTGAAGCTGAAGGAGCTCTCCTCCATCTTCCTGTCTGTCTGTCACCGTGGGATGTGGTGCCAGGGTGCAGCTGTTCAGATTTTACCTCTCGTTTTATTCCAGAAATAAAGTTCAAGCCACTTTTAAAGCTCGCAATATATCATTTTTTGCCCAATGGGGGTTTGTAAAGCAATATAGTTTGTCATGTCATTCAGTTTCTCGCGGTTAGGATTACAACGTTATTCATCGTTCAGGAGGTTTTTCAAGGAGCTGAACTATCTGTAGAAGTATGCTCCTCTCCTAAACAAATTGACCCAGTGATTAAAAGTACTGAAAACCCTGAATGAAGCAGTTTGGTTTTCAAAAAATGGACCTTCTCACTACGCTATTTGGGGTTTGCTACGCTTGTTTTTCTGATAACTTGAAATCCAGGCGTTAAGGAGGGTATTACTTGGAGCCGCAATACCTACAGAGGACTACTCCTTCACAATCAAACCATTCAATGTGACTAAAACCTTTAAAAACACTGAATAAAGCAGTTATACATTACAAATCTATGTTTATTTAAGGATGTTTTGTTTAGCGTAACCTTACTCTGGTTAAAATATATGGTTAAAAACAGTTAAGATTCAAGTCTGTTATATAACCGTGGCTTAAAACTGGATAAAAGTGTACAGCTTCTGCACAGCAACCGTAACGCGTGTTCAAAGAGCATCACCTTTACAGACGACAAAATGAAACGGAACAATAACCTGAAATTGTTGGAACATTTGGAATGATGTAGGAACCCAACTTAACAAAAGATATACCATAACTCTAGTCTTTTTTTTCATCATTATTGAATGGAGAAAGCTATATATGATATCTTAAATCAAAAATAAAGGCGTTGTGTTGTGTCCATATCCAGCATAAATCAATGCACTCTCTCTGGGCGTAATGAAGTTTTGTTTTTATTGGCAGTTGTCCGCCTCACAGTGATCCCCAGCTGAGGCTATATTGATTATCACTACACCACTGCACATGCTGTATGACACCTCTCCCCCCTCTACTCCCCCCCCCCCCCCCACCCACCTTCTCTGCATCCTGCTCGAACAGGCGCAGCTGGAAGCACTGGTCCAGCTGCAGCTTGCGGACGTGCCAGGCCTGGTGGAGGTGCTGCCGGGTGGAGTGCAGTTTGTCCAGCAGCTGGGTGACGCGCGGCACCAGGCCCTGCGTGTCGGCGTTACACATCCCCCCGCCGCCACTGCTTCCCCCCCCGCCGACACCGCTGCTGCCGTTACGGTTGGAGAAGGACTCGCTGCTCTGGATTCTCTGGAGCAACCTGGAGACGAGTTGAATAAGAGATATAATGTTAATGTCGCTCCACTCGTGGCTCCTGATTTGCATATTTTAAGATATGTCACAGAGAAGTAAACTACGATACATATCCACTCCATTCATAATGTCACATTGGCATGGAGTGGATTCTTGTGAGCTCTTTGGAAAAAATAATGTTTTATTTATGATTCATGCAGAAAGGATCCGAATGTATCCACTTGTTAATTATAATCTTTACTGTCTGTATCTTTGCACATCTGCTTTTCTAAAATTGCAACCTTGATGTGAAAAAGTGTCTTTGAGCACCAGGAAAAACGCTATAAAAATAACATGTATTATTAAACATTTTAACAAAATCAGGACATTTACATTTTTAAATATAAAAAGAAATATTCAGAACAATTTTTAAGGTAAACATAATAGAAACAAGCTTCATTTAAAAAAAAAAATATATATAATAATAATAGAATTATTGGTAGGGAATGAAAGGGGGGGATGTCCGGTGGGCACCACGGCAGGGCAGGAGGTGAACTGGGACCTCTCCAAGTAGCAGTCCACACTCCATATTTAGGTCTGGTCGAGGACTTGAACCGGCGACCCTACGGCTCACAGTCCAAGCCCCTACTGACTGAGCCACTGCCGGACTCCAAGTAAACGTCATACTGTTTTATTGTTTTCATCTCCAGTCTTATATCAAGCAGAAAAAGGAAAGCCCCGAGCATTTCTGTGTGCCTACCTCTGCCCCTCTGTGTCCAGCTCCTCTATCGGGGCTTTTATGACTTTCTTCTTCAGCGTGGCGTGTTCTTCTATCATCCGCCGGGCTCCTTCCAGATCCTGGGGGAAGTCTTTCCTCGACACCGTTTCCTGCATCTCCTCAAGACGAGCCAGCATCTGAGTGGCGTGACCGGAGAACTCCTCGAATGCCACACGCACCTGCATGAAAACACACCCAAAGTAAGAAGGAGTGAGATACAAATATCACCAAATATAATGGATTTAGACCAGTGCTTCTCAAAGTGTGGTCCGCAGACCACTGGTGGTCCGTGAGCGCCCTCTAGTGGTCCGTGAGTATATTGGTAACATTTCACATTTTAAATAAATAAATACATTTCAGTTTTCCGCACTCTCGCGGGAATATCTCCGCAATGGAGCGAGGTTACGTTTCACTTTCGATTGCATGATATAGCCCAGCGCAACACCTTCATTACACATGTTGCCACATGTTTGTACCATCTTCAGGCGATTTGTAATCTGTTCTAGAAAAACGATGTGTTTTTTGATATTTGTGGAGTTAGGTGGTCCGCGAGTGTTTTTTTATTGGTTAAGTGGTCCTTGGTATGAAAAAGTTTGAGAAACACTGATTTAGACCACAACAAAATAGTTCTGCTAACAATGAGAATAATAACTATTTGATTGCTACACCTGCCAACAGTCACTGCTAATTCATGCACATATTTTCATGCCTGGATTTCTGATAGTTGAGTAAGGCACTTCTTTATTAATTTAAGTCAGTGGGTGTTTAAAGGATTTCAAGATAGATTTTTGGACCGGGCTTGAGTGACAGAATGAAGGACCAATCTCACCTCTATCCACTCCTCATGGTTGTACTCCAGGCTGCCGTCGAAGTCCGACGTCAGCTGGGAGGGGTCCACGACCTTCGTCAGGCCCTCTAGTGACACCATGGTGGTCTAGGAAGAAAGGGTGGAGGACAATTAGTCAAGATGGTGAGTGAGAAAAGGATTCAAAGGTGTTTAAAAGGATTAACTCAGTCAAATAGGAGCAAAATGCTTCTAATCTTTCCGCTCCTCGCACTGTTTTGCCTCCTGACGGTTTGTATTCAGTAAGGGAAGACATAACCAACCCCTGGTTCCCAAAATAAAGCAGCTTAAGATTTGTTAATGAGCAGAGATGTAGGGATGTAATTTAAGGGAAAGCTCTGTAATTAATAACTTAAAACCTCCATGGTGTGACTAAAGAACATTTGATCCTGCTAATTCAACACGCTGCAGCTTCACAATACCACACGACAACACTAAAAAGAAACCATTGGAAAATGTCCACATCTATCGTAGCTCAACGAGCTCTTGCTCACATGTTGCATAATGTGACGCCAGAACACTTCTTTGATCGCCTGGTCATCTTTTGCTTTAGAGTTAAAAGAAAACCCAATCCTCTCCGTGCAACAAGTGCATATCACAATATCAGTTCAGAGATACAGTAAGGGAATGTCTCCCTGTTTGGTTTCGTTGCCTCTGTGTTTCTGTTGAGCCACCTCCGCACAACACCCCCACACACATGGCCAGAGTCGGATGGAGACAGAGGGATAGCGAGATAGCTTTGTGTCGGCCAAACAACGCAGAAACACACTGTTGTCCTTGGGTAAGCTAAGTGGCTTTTGCCAGGGGAAAACACCGATATTGCATTGTTTGCTATTGTTGTTTTAAGTGAATTGATTTGTACTGTGTTGAACGGTGAGAGGGAGGATGGGTCGGGGCTCCAGGGTAACGTTGATCTCCCGCAGAACCGAGGAGCAATTCATCAACAACCCAAATGGAAGCTGTAGCCTGTCTGCGCTTCGTCTCGCCGCTTCCTTTTATCCCGGCTCAAATCGACAGAGAGGAGGGAGAGGAACATTTCCTACATTTCATTTATACAAGCTGGGAGGGAAGATTCTCGAACACACACACGCAGAAAGGAAAATACTTTCTCTGTCGCACGCGGGGTTTCAAAGGCTGGCACTGAGTAGCATAAACTAAAAATGGCTTGGGTTATTTATGTGATGGTATATTTGATCTGTGCATATCAATATCAATTATGTCTCTGTCGTATGTTTGTTTTAACACGGGGGTTTACCACCTGGAGCGGGGGAGGGGTGGAATTGGGGGTTTGCAACTTCTTGTCATGAATATTGTGTTTTGCGATGAAAATCTGTGTGGTAAAAAATGCTTGTACCCGATTGGTCTGTGAGTGTGAATACTGGAACGCATTACGCTGTTTTACTCAGGCGTGGATGATTTTGAACACAAGCAATGCAACCGCAGTCCTAGCAACTATGATATGAACTTAAATAATGCAAGATAAAAGAACACTCCCTGCGTATAACCAGTAGAAATAATAATAAATGAACTACGTGATGTCTGGTAGTGAACACACACACACATTCAAATGCAGTGCAATCAATGTCTGTGTGGCAAGGCACGACTGCTCATGGATAACTAACCTGCCCTTTGGCATCTGCCTATAATTCCTCTCACATAATCAATATGGTGTCATCAGACCACAGTGTGTGTGTGTGTGTGTGTGTGTGTGTGTGTGTGTGTGTGTGTGTGTGTGTGTGTGTGTGTACAATCATTTTCCACACCACTGCATCCACTCACACTGCTGTAGCCAGAACGTATGAGAAACACCATGTATGCGAGTGTCCAGGAACATCCTGTACAGAGCATAAGAGCAACAGGGCTCCACCTGCGCTACAGTATGGGGGTTTGTATCATCCGCTGTCTCATTAGGATGAGGGATAGGCTGATCATTATCACAGAGAGCAGATCAAACGGAGAAGGCGGGAAAACGTTACCCGCTCCTCATTACAGTGCATTTAGGAAACAGGGCTTCGACATCACGTAAAGGAATCTTCTCGACTTCAAAAGCAGAGCGCCCGCACTGATTAGCCAAAGCTGTGGTTTATTTAGTGTACTGCTTTACACTACACTCAGAACATGAAGATAAGCGTGTTGTTGTGAGTATATCATTTAATCAGCTGTGAAGAAGGGTTCAAACGCTTCGGCTGAAAATGTCACCAACACCCGTGATCTTCAGTTTCAGGGCAATGTGATGCAGCAGGGAGAGATACATAACCAAAAGTGCTGACAATGAGCAGCTCAGCTGACTGCAGCTGTCTTTATGACAACTCAGCTGACAGGGAATTAAGGGATAGCTCGTTTTTAAATTGGCCAGTATAGAATTGAGTCATTTAATATCCCTGCTTGATATCTCCAGGGTTTTCGCAGTAGTCTTTACCGCATGCTAAAAATCTACTATGCTTATCCTCACTTTAGCCTCATAGAATTACATAACACAAGCTTTTACACTATATAGCTGTCACTGCAGTGGTTCATTCTTCCCTGGTTTCAACTTCAATCACATTATGAGCCTATTGCTGTCATGCATGGCACACTACACATTATGACAATCCCAATCTGTCGTTTTTGCAGCTTCAGATTAATCCATAGACCCAAGATGACATTAAAATAAACAGTTTTCGTTAAGAATCCAATTTTGTTCTCCTCCTACCTCAAATTCGAACTTTGAGCTGCCGAAGTTAGTCCTCTGCTTCTGCCAGAAGTTGTCTGGTTTGATGATGAGGGCGACGTGGATGCAGGACGGGAAGGTCTCCTGCAGGATCTTCAGCAGAGGCTTGATGCTGTCCCACTTGGAGCCGCGCATATCAACGATGACCGTGAAGCCATGTTTACACACCTCCTCGCTGGAGATGTATGGAGGTCGGCGGGAGTGGGTGGAATTAAAAGAGAGGAGAGGGAGGGAGGGGGGAGAGAGAGAGAGAAAGGGGCGGAGGGGAGTATAATCCAGAGGGAGGAGAGACAGATGACAGGCGTGGGAAAGGATGAGAGAGGGATGACAAGAGGGAGAAAGAGATTGAAAAAGAGAATCAAAACAAACTGTGAGATGACGCATTTTCTATACGGTGAGAGGCCTACGCAACACACACACACACACACACACACACACACACAACACACACACACACACACACACACACACACACAAACACACCACACACACACACACACACACACACACACACACACACACACACACACACACACACACAACACACACACCCAACACACACACACACACACACACAACACACACACACACACACACACACACACACACACACACCACACACACACACAACACACAACACACACACACACACACACACACACACACACACCACACACACACACACACACCACACACACACACACACACACACACACACACACACACACACACACACACACACCTCTCTGTGCTGATCTGGTTATTACACAACCTTACACACATGATGTCTGATGTAATGCAAAACAGAAACACCTCTTGATTTGAGGAGCAATACTATATCTTCTTTGAATACTTTTGTATTGATAAAGCTGGGCTGCGTTTTCTCCTTTTGGTCTTTTTAAGCATTTAGAAAAAAGCCCTTTTTCTTAAAATATCCTTTTCTATTACTGGCTCCAAACTTCTCCCTCTTTTGACAGTCTGTCGGTGCTTATCCAGTGTGCAGCAGTGTGCAGATGTTTCCCAAAATAGAACACCTCTAATCGTCAAATACCACGTAGGTGAAAGAGATTACAAAAAAATGCAAAACATGACAGTGGGTTACAAATGCCTAAAAGGACATTAAAACAAGTCAGAGGATTACGTCAAACCACACAGAGATAATGTGGTGAGTTCCATGGAGATGCGAGCAGACGGAGAGAGGATGGAGGAGAACGACAGATGGAGGGAGGAGAGGAGCGGCAGATTAAAGTAAACATCTGGAGGGGAGAGATGTTTTACCTGCGAGGTAAGGAGCTGCTCTTCCTCTGTATCTGCTGCTGCTGCTGCTGCACCGCCTCGGCTACTGCGACACTTTGTTTTGCTTTCACACATACACACCCGCTCGCTCACACACACCTCCTCACGCATGCGCTCTGTCAGTTTTAATCCTCTCTCTCTCTCTCTCTAATGATCCCTCCTGCCTTCCATCAGTTGTTTTCTAATACGTCCCTCTCTGAGCTCAGGCTTTCCCTCTCAGCTTCTCTCTGTGTTTCTAGAACTGGTTTATTTGGCAGTGAAGAAGCTGCGGCGAGCTAACTGCTCTTAAATGATTTCTCCCTCCATCACATGCTTGTGTCAGCTCCATCTCGTGTTCGCTTACGGAGCCTCACTACTTGCTCCGGGTGTTTTGCATTGCTTCTCCTTCTCATGAAAGAAAAAGGCAGCAAACACTCACACACATGAAGATGCTTTACACACACGAACAAAACGTAATAGATGTGTAACCTGGGGATGCCTGCGAGGTAAGCGATCAGTCTGCGCAGGTCGTCCGTTCGTATTCTGTCGTGGTTGCTGCGTGATGGAAACGTTAACACCGGACCACCGCGTCTGTCTCTGCCACCTGAGGACGGACACACACACACACACACACACACACACACACAGAGAGAGATTGGAGTACAGATATATTAGATGTCATTTTAGCTGACGGTTACATACACATCAGTCTCGTCGACATGACTACATGGGCGATGTAGGGTTAAGTATTTGGGGTAAAGAGCAGTTGTTAGAGAAGGTGGCTCATGTGCCAGTGGACACTTTCACATCTTGATAGTGGCTTGGGATTGAACCACTAACCCTACAATCTGATGGCCATTTGATGATAATAATATTTTTTATTTGGAGACATCTTTCAAGACAGCCAAGGACACTTTACAATGCATATAAGAAATACTATATAGGTACACACAGCTAAATATAACATGCATACAGGTCAAACAGAAAATAGACATTATTTAAGAAAAAGCAGAGAGGTATGAATGGACAGGAAAGCAGCATCTGAACAGTTTTGAAGTGGGGTTTTAATGTAAATCACATATGTTGCCGATACGTTTACTGCTGGTAAAATCTCACAAAAAACACGTTTGACAGACTGAATGTGTTTTATTTGAAAGCACTGCCCATCATTTTATGCTGTCATGGTATGCCTTCGTAGAGCTAATATAGTGAAGATGAGCTGAGCGGTCACTAAATCAGCAGAAATGTGACGGGAGAAGAATAGGCATCATAGGAAAGTACGAGATGCTGAGCCTGCTGATCAAAGCGCCCCAGGTAACAGAGTTACAATTGATTTGAATGACTTCTTGCTCTGCTAGAAACTCAGCTAATGGGAGCACTCTAGCAATAAGGCAGACTGACTGAGAAACCTTTTTTAAAATGGTAAAAACCCAAAAAATAGAATCGAACAAACAATTATTCAATCCAAGTGCTTTAGTTAGAGGACAGCATCATCTAGAGATTCACTGTTTTACTAATCGTCTATGTTTTTATTCTTTTTTCAAATTCCATGTATGAGAAGCAGCATTTTGAGCTCAAATCTGAATTCCATATTGTTGTACGTTTACAGTAGTTCTGCCTTCAACGGCTTTCTGGTCTGAATCCAACATTTTAAATATGATTATGTCCCTTTAATGGGTGGTAGGGTATCACTCGCTGTTTGCAGTACATGGTCATGAGATGGAGTTATGTATATCTGCTACGGTCATAATATGATTTTGCTTCTTAGAGAGAGCCGCTCACGTGGGAACTTGTAAACACGAGTTCAGTCGGTTGCCGTGCACCGGCGGACCCCACCCGGCTGCTCAGAGGAGGAAAGCAGACGCTCACGTGGCAAAAACAGGCCGACGTGGGTGAGGGTCAACACGTCCCAATTATTAAAAGGAGCCACATTGGAGAGTAATAGGCTTAACTAATTTACCCTCCTTTTCACCGGCGGTCTCCCCCCCCCTCCCTTATTTCAAAGCCAATTACTCTGCCGGCGAATGCTATGGCTGAGAGAGAGTAAGTCATCTCCATGGCAACAACGCCCTGTCTCTCAATTTTCTGTGTGATTGTCAGAGTCATTTTCCTCATTGTTGTGTTTCTGCCTGTGACCTCCTCAGCGCACATCACACACAGACACACAATAATTACCATAACATTTGCTTTGTTGTTCTTTGATCTGTTGTGCGAGTGTGGCTTGTTTTCCATCGGTATACACACACACACACACACACACACACACACATTGGTGGAAAGTAGCTAGGTACATTTACACTTCATGTCTGTATATTTGTATATTTATGGTGTATTCAATATATATATCCTACGTTATTTATATGTATAGATTCACAGTTTGTGTATTTTGTTTATCTTCTACTGCTGATATGTATATCTTTGTTGTTTTTTATAATTTTTTTATTCATGTGCAAGGTCTTATCAACATCATGCTGTGATGAAATAAAATCCCAAATTAGGATCAATAAAGTATATCTTACTCAAAATACTGTACTCAAGTACACATTTGAGGTACTTTTGAGCATTTTTTTTTAGCGCCACTTTATACTCACATTGTACTTTTCACTATATCTAAGTTACAGCTACGTTAGTTGTTACTTTCTCTATACATGTTGATTATTCTACACAGAAACTAAGATGTTTTGATTAAACGATCTAAGATACAATTTAAGCACACCACAAGCAACGATTGGGTTGCCAAAAGAATGTATTGGCGGTTAGGGTTATTTCACAGTTCCATCTTCTCAAATGTTTTTCCTTTTAAATATGTATAGTTTTCCTCTGTAATAAGTACTTTTACTCCAATACTTGCACTACATTTTCCTGATCATACTTAAATACTTTTACTTAAGTGCCATTCTTTACTTCTAATTGAGTTCCCTTACATTTCACTAGTAGTACTTTTACTTAAGTAAAGGATCTGAAGATTTCCTCCATCACTGTCTCACACACAAACGCACCAGCTGAATTATACTCGTGTGTGTTGTACAAATAATCCTGCTGGATGTTCTTGGCAGTCCACATCTCCGGATCGGCCTCCTGTGACTCGTGTGTGTGTGTGTGTGTGTGTGTGTGTGTGTGTGTGTGTGTGTGTGTGTGTGTGTGTGTGTGTGTGTGTGTGTGTGTGTGTGTGTGTGTGTGTGTGTGTGTGTGGGAATTTCACGACGGCCACGACGGCCATGGCCGTCGTTGCCCCGCACTTTGGCCGTGATGCCCTGTGAAAAAAAATGCAATTCACGGCCAAAGTGGCCTTGGTGCCCCTGTCAAAAGTTCCAGTGTAAACAACGCTAGTAAAGTCCTATTAGTGCGCGCAGTAGGATAGTCCCGTGCCTGTGGATCAGAGCGATTGCTCTGCTGTGATTGTTCCGTCAGAAATGCCTGTAGGGGCCCGACAGCCTCCTCCTCAGCCGCGGGAGCAAGACAAGCACAGGTAAGCAAGCAGACCAAGCTGTTTTGATATGATTTAACTGAAGTATGTGGTAGTATTTGAAAGGACTTAACATTTACGTGTTTATAGAAAGTACTATTGATAGGTAATTACCATTGTATTAGCCTATTTAAAGTCGACTCGTTACATTTTGTCATGAAAACTAGCGATAGCTAGCTAGTTTGGATAGCGCTAACGTCTTCCCTTCAAGGGGTCTACATCTAGTGTTGCTTCTACAAGCTAGCAGATAGCTGTCACCTTTGAATCTAGTATTTTTCTTGCTAAGCGGTTTTGATATAATACATGACTGACTTATGTGGTTTATGGCTGAACTTAACGTATACCTTTAAGAAACACTATTGCTATTCAGCCATTTGTAAAACGACTGGTGTTGACGTTAGTGCTACACTTTTCAGTCATGTTGATTGACCAGCGTAATTTAACCAAACGGCCTTTGTGCCCTGTCATGTGGCCTTTGTGCCCTTGAAAAAAATGTGAACGGGAAGGCCAAATGGCCTTGCCCCTAAAATGACGAAATTCCAAGCCGTGTGCGTGTGCGTGTGTGTGTGTGTGTGTGTGTGTGTGTGTGTGTGTGTGTGTGTGTGTGTGTGTGTGTCATGGTTGAGCTTCACTTAGAGGGGGCAAAGACACAGCTGTAGCTTAGTATATTATCCAGTCCTGCTGATATTGACTAAACAAAGGCTGCCTGTGTGTCAGTGTGTGTGTTCTGAGTAGTCTGAGGGTGAAGATGGTCAAGGGTCAAGTGTCTGGGCCTCAGTCTGACCTCTTGAGTTTGTGCAGGCAGAGTGCATGGCTTATTTTAGGAGAGAGGACTTCATGTTTCATCAGACTAGGATGCTCAAACAAGCGAGGTTTTTGACTTGGGAGATTTGTAAACACTATGAAAATAATCTTACCTGACAAAAAGGCGACTTTTTCTTTGAGGATGGAAAGAACCTCCATTGCTCTCATCTCCTCATTTCTCCTGAAACCTGGATAATGGGAAGGGAGAGAAAGAGAGACAGTTAGGTTTGAATGGAGAATACAAAAACCCACACAGCAAAGAGGAAGCACTGAGTCTGTGGTTGGAGAAACAGTAGCGCTGAGACAAAGTGAGGCCAAACGATGGGGAAGTTCAAGAAAAACAAAGAGCTGTTGTAGCTCCTGCTATTACAGAGGTGAAATGGGGTGAGGCGATATTCATTTCTATAAGTCACTTCAGTTCCCGTCAAATCAAATCAAAAGCAAGACACTATTCAAAACGGTAGACTGTGTGCTGCAGGGATGAAGTTGAAGGTCTTGGTAGCGTCACAAAAACATAACAATAGGATTTTTGTATTGAATTTTGATTATTATGGAAGTCTTACCATCATCAAAAATGGACACATCTTTCAAGTAAAAACATGTGGTCATTTACAAACTTAACACAATCGCATGGCGTCAACATATTACTACAGTTCCAGCAGGTATAAATGTAAAATCTACAACTTGGAAAGGTCCAGTTAGAACAGTTTGCAAGAGTCAACACAACCAGCCAAACAAAGCAAACTAATGAGTAGATGATCATTTGCTCCTGTGGGTAATGTCCGCAGTAATGACTCTTACATGTCTAATATGTGTAATGTGTACTTGTAAAGCGCTTTGAGCACCTGTAAAAGCGCTCTAATAAAAAATGTAATGCATTATTATTATTATTATTATTAAAAACATCTCAAACTCTTCTAGCTTGTTCGAACCACATACCTAAATGCAGCTATCTAATCAATAACCAAAGGAATAAAAACACTGACGTCATGATTAGGGAACCAGAAGTGCAAAAATGCTCTGTGGTCTGACTTATACAAATCAAGAGTTCAATTGAGAAGAACAAAATGTCTAATGCAATCATGCTAACATAGTGATGTTACCAGGTATAATGTTAACAAACCTAGTTGATGTGTCATTTATTATTTAGCAAGAAATAATCCTAAATGTCAACTTCTTCATGATGGCAAGAAAGTACCAATCAAGCTCAATCCTTCCAATAGTTTTTTTTAGATATGTTTAAACAAAACAGACCAAACAGCAGACAGATTGCCTTCCTTTGAGCCATGCTGCTAACATGGTGAAACATCATTTAAACAATTACCCCATTTAATCATTTTTATTAGTCAACTACCAGTTTAGAAATTGACACAATTCAGCTTTCAAAATGTCTCTCTCCTTTCCCGACAAACCACAGTGAGAACATTTTCTGAATCGACTATTATAGAGGGCTAACAATCTGTCGGATAAGAAAAATTCAAAAACACGTAGCTCCCCACTTCAACTCTACTTTGCCTCCTCTTAGACCACTAAACTCTGATATTTTCCTGTAAATAAATGTCCGCCACCACCTGTTCATATTCAATGATGAATCACAACCTTTAGTCGCCTCATAAAAGCTTCAGTATTTTCACAATTTTGGCTTTCTAATAACTGAAGCTATTTCTGGGAAAGATCCTCTGGCGAAGCACATAATGTGTTTTACATACGGGTTGTCTGGAATAAATGGAAGAAGATACTTAGCATGAGCAGTAATGCAGAAAAACCCACAGCAATAATCCAAGCAATTTTCAGCGCATAAATGTCAAGCTGGATCTCATGGGCGTGATGGAGCCAGAGATCCCTCCTCTGCACGGCTAACATTCTGTCAGAAGCCAATGAATGGCTGTCAGGGGATATCGAATAAGTGAAAACATGTTCAAACAACTCCTATATATATAGACACGCAATTCCCTTAAGTGATTAAACTCACTTGTCATCTTCAACACACACAGGTGGACAGAGTGAAGCCCAGATGTTGTCCTTCAGACTGAGCAGAGGTGTGTTTGTGTGACTGATGACCAGACGAGTAAATAATAAGTGTCTTTTTTTCCTCCTGTCTGTTTTTGACATCTGTTTTTTTTCCACTGGGCTTTTGTGCCTTAAAAAGAAATCCTATTTATTTCCCTGTTTTAGCATTTTGTATGGAAATCAGTATGAAATGACCTTATCTGAGAGGTACATTGTGTCAATATATGTCATTCACTTTGTCTATATTGTCTACATAATTTGTATCTGTGTATATATAAGTCTCTTTTGTGAGGGCAAAAATTAAATAAAAAAGTTGGTCACAAAAAAAAAAAATGTCATTCACATGCACTAGACTAGTGAATGAGTACGCTTACATCTACTATTAATTACTTAAAGTGAGAAAGAAAGTGAAGTGATTAAATCTTATTTTACGGCTGTGCCAAATAGATTTAAGCTTTAAACCTTCAGTCATAATTTTGATATTCAATTCATGTGCAGCTTTTTTTGCACTCCATTATTGAAGATTGAACTTATTGTCATTAGGTAGTACAGGTACTATGTAATAATACGGTTTCTCTGCATTTGACCCATCCTAGTGTTAGGAGCAGTGGGCTGCCATTATGTACGGCGCCCGGGGAGCAGTGTAGGGAACGGTGCCTTGCTCAGGGACACCTGCACTTGGTCTTTCCGGGACTTGAACTGGTGACCTTCCAGTTGCCAAGTCCCTATGGACTTCGCCACCATTATGCCTCTTGATTCTGTACAAACATGGTATTTCTGTACAGTTGCAGACAAGGAGAGGCAACACTAATATTATAAGCAGTTTGGAATATCATTTGTGAAATCATATTCTGGTTATGGCTCCGTAGGATTCTGTGTAATTCAATATTTTTCAAGAACTTCCAAGCATTGTAATGAGACAAAAGATCAAATGTATTTAAAAATAGATATAAGGTCAATTCAAACAACATGTTTTTAAGCAACCAAATATTATGTTTCAATCATATTTGATGTCATTTAGGAAAAACAGCATTTTCAGTACGGTCAAATGGCTCTCCTGGTTATTGCACTCAAATAGAGGCACACACCTGTAATAATAAGGTGAACTAGAAGCATCATAAATAACATGTATAAAACCATATATGTAACAAAAACTGATATTCATTAAAAAACGTATTTTAATTTTTAAAAAATATGACAGATTCAAAAACATTGAACGTAGCTTTCAATTCATAAAACTACATTTGGTACAGCCTTGTTTAATTCTGGTCTTCTCTCCACACACACACACACACACACACACACACACACACACACACACACACACACACACACACACACACCACACACACACACACACACACACACACACACACACACACACACACACACACACACACACACACACACACACACACACACACACACACACACACACACACACACACACACACACACACACACACACACACACACACAACACACCACACACACACACACACACACACACACACCACACACACACACACACACACACACACACACACACACACACACACACACACACCACACACACACACACACACACACACACACACACACACACACACACACAGGATTGTACTCCAGTCTCGGCACTCAGCGGGTTTATAACTGGATGCTAATGAGATGCTAATTCCTTTCCGCCACCGGAGGAGATGGATGAGGATCAGGACGTGTCTTTATTTGTACTGTTCCTCCCTCCTCTCATTTGTCTCCCGACTTCCCTCAGGGTGCCACAAAAAACAAATGATCATGATCAACTACGTTTCCCACTGCGCTCCTCCTGCAGAGAGGGAGTGTGTAGTTCTTCATTGATGATGTATGACAGGAGGCTGCCACACACAGACAGAGAGAGAGAGAGAGAGAGAGAGAGAGAGAGAGAGAGAGAGAGAGAGAGAGAGAGAGAGAGAGAGAGAGAGAGAGAGAGAGAGAGAGAGAGAGAGAGAGAGAGAGACTCCATTTGCAGGGACCAGATTTAAATTGTATTTAGAGAAGTGTTCAATTAAGCTGCAACTAATAATCAATTTCATTATTAATGAGTGTGTTGAATATTGTTGGCTTACTCCTTAGTTATTAAGACATTGGAAAATAAATAATCATGACCAATTAAGCCAAATCAAACGAAATAAAATAGAGAAAATAAGCAAATAGTTACATTTGATTAAATCTGTATGGGAATTGTCTGTAAATTGTCTTACCAATTGAAAGTTTGTGCATATGTTATGTTAAAGTATGTTCAAATGATGGGCCAATCTTTTGACATTTTATAGACAATTTGAAAAATAGAAAGATTAATTGATATAAAAAATGATAAGTTTGGACAAGAGAATGTGTGGAAATGTTGCTTGATCAATAACTCAAAACGATTTTTTTTTAATCATAAAAATAGCTGCATTATTATCACATTTGTGTGAAGGCTGCTATTTTTATATATTTATTTGTGTGCCTTTTTTTAATGTTTTTATTCTGCATATGTATTCTTTATATATATATATTTATTCTTTGGGACGGTGAGAAAAGTGTGACCTGTTTTTCTTGACAATGGGCCAATCAATTCATCTTTACATGTGATCATATACTATTTCTTGATATTGTTTATACAGTCTCATGTAGTGTATTGCACTGCATGTAAGCACTTGTTTTTTTATCTCGTTTTTGTACCCTCACCATATCTGTCCATCGTCTGAGTGTTTGCTTCCCTGTCCCTGAATGTTGCATCATCTTTTAGTTTTGCATCAGGGACATGGAGAAACAAAATGTTGTTCTGTGTACAGATTTCTGATGTGTTTCAAGCTGTATTTGCTAAACATTACCATATACTTTATTAACAGTGCAATGTGTATCATTGCCCATTAATTACAGTAGTAATATCTCAACCATTGCTGTGTTAATCTAAATTCTGGAGTGCGTATACGGGCAACGTGCACCCACAAAAAGATAAGTTAGTATCATGTATACCATGTGAAATTCATCTTCTAAAGCAGAGATAATCTTAGATGTTTCCCACCAACGAGTTGTCTGATTGGCTGTCGGCCATCAGCCAGTAAGATAAGCAAAGGTCAATGAAAAACTTGTTGACATGATGAAAAGTTGGAAACCACGATGTGCGTGTGTGTGTGTGTGTGTGTGTGTGTGT